TAGCCGTCGACGTTCACCAGGATTCTACTCTTGTAGAAGACGACCATGATGAAGACCTGTTTCGAACATGTTCTCGAGCGCTTCGATTCAACTTTGTAAGCAAATTTCTGCCACCTGTTGCACGTTGGACGCGATCAAGTAAACAGATTTTTTTTTTAATTATTTAACGAAACTTTTACGTAACTCAATTAGGTGAAAAAAAAAAAATTTTTGTTAAAGCTTTTGACGCCGAAGTCCCTTTTTAGTTTTCTTTTGTGCTGGAAATTTAGCGGCTTTTAAGGCGTTAAAACGGCTGCCTCGTTAATCCAGAAGAACAGGATCGTTATAACTGACGTTTCTAATTTCCAATTCGTATTTTAATGACTTACACGAACACGCTTATAACATGTGATCGTTGAAGTTTGATTAGTGCAGGTCATTCTTATGTAACGTCAAATGCAGTTGCATTCTTATCGAAGCTTTGTAATAATAACATTAATAATGCTATTACGCAATGGTACTATACCATTGGTACTACTCGATTCAATACAATGAGTATTTTAAGAGGATTACTCGTCTTTAATTTAAGAGTAGGTACGTCACAGCTGAGTTACTGTTAATTCCACGTCAATAAAATCAGCAATTTTCGATTCGTACAAATGAATTCAGTCGAAGTCCATATTTGTAGGTGGTTATTTTCATTAAAAAATGATACTCAATCCAGGTAAAGTTGGATGCAATTTTTTTTTTCACCCTCAATTGCACAGGAATCTTAGGTTCACGTCTGACTCGCATTATGCTTTTAACTACCCAACAAAATAGTTTCCTGTAGTTATAGAGTTTTTTACACGGATCTTTTCTACACCCGTGAATATGCATCGAACAGCGCTGAAATACCGATTCACAATACGCCGGACGAGCATCGAGAGAAGCGACGCGTCTCTACCCTAAATAAAACGAAGCCCTCGCCGATTGCGTGCGCAACGTATGAATGACTGTAAGTGCATGATAAAAAGAATAAACGTTAGAACGGAATGCAACTACGAGAATCGTATCGGGTTTCACGGTTTAGTAAGCCAAGCCATAGAGCATCGTTCGCGATTGGGCATTGACTGGCATTGACCGACATGACGCTAGTATGGTCAATCGTCAGCGTTAATAAATCGACGCGTCTGCAACGAACGACGTGGCGACCACCGATAATAATAATATTTTCGTTGTCATCGCCAGCAGTCTCGTTGTTACGTAAAAAAAACAAAGAAAAGACAGAAAGACGTCGCGACGCCGTGACGTAACAGGTAAAATAGTACGATCAGCAGCAATGGCATGCTCTACGTGGTTACGTATATATACGTATCGTACCGACTGAATTTCATTTCGCTCTATTAATTTCGCCGATCAATCGATCCGACCGACGGCGAAGTACCGGCGATACTAGCAAATAGACCCAGACGCCGTCCTAGAGTTCGGTTAGGTTAGGTCAGACTTGGTAAACTCGCAAAGAAAACTTTGTCGCGTGACTATCTCGCGCGTCTTCTCTACCTGTGTGCGTCGCTTGCCCCGAGATAAGGACGCACGGCTGCAACAGGTTTGCGTTTACAGGTAAACTCGCCTTTTGATTAACACGCCCACGTTAACGTGCGCTTGCATTCCTTTACGGCCGTTTGCCCGTTTCGCTAGATCTATCCGCGTAACGTACGATTGCCCGTGTAGTAGATACATTTGTAGCCACGCACTTCCAAGCACTGGGATCACGTACCTCTCGTGCGGCTCGAGCGTATTTTTTTTATCTTTGCGATAACGAGGAACAAAGAATTAGATAAGCTCCTTCGATACACATGCGTATATACAATTTGTGGTCCTAATTTTTCGGGCCGTCTCAATGCCCGTCGTACACGCGGAGGAGCCTTGACGTACGAGTAAACGGTGGGAAATCTAAACAAAGCCCTCTGGACGTTTTATTCGAGTCATGAAAATTAATAAGACACCCATAAAGCGGTATCAAAACATTGAAAACGGCACTGTTAACGGTAACCCAAGGAGTCGTAGGTTTTTTTTTTTTTTTTTTTTTTTTTGTTAGATAAAAATAGAAATACTCTCACAGCGTTCGGATAGCAGACGAATCAAATTTTTTTTTTTTTTTTTTTTTTTTTTTTCGTTAGATAAAAATAGAAATACTCTCACAGCGTTCGGATAGCAGACGAATCAAATGCGGACTAGGAACGAGTTTAATGACCATTTGGGGAATTTTACGCGATGTGAGGTTAGGTCTTGTCGGGTTAGTGGAAGAGCTGGTGCTCGCGGTGTACGGGGATTCTTGTCTCTTCCTGGCGGAATCACGGTTTGCTTGTAATTACTACGTATGTCGGCTTTCTCCGTGCTCGTGGTCGTACGCCTCTGCCGTTCCGTAGTTTAGGTTTTGTGTATACCTGCGCGTCCGCTCTATACGCCATATATACGACTATGTGCTTGACTCGTACTAGTCTCCTCCTTCGTTTCTCCGGATCTGTGTATAAACATACGGCACTCGGTCTATCGTTTATTTTTGCCTCGAGCGAAGGAAAAAAAGAATGAAGAGAGAAAAAGAAGAGAAAAAAATACTTCCACACCAGCGCCATCTTGACTTGCCATTGAACTCCAGAACGAGAGTTACGTTTTTTTTTCTTTTTTTTTTTTAAAGTTTAATAACGTGACACTCGCTTGGAATACGTGTTTCGCGCGTAATCAAGTATACGCGTAGTAATTCATTTGAAAGAACTTGTAGAACGAGATACAAGTGAAAAAATGTACGTTTTATTTCTTATAAAATTCACTGACTTATAAGTACTCGATACGTCGAAGCCTTTCGTAACTGATGCGTATGTATGTATACACAAAGGAATGACTAAGAAGGCGCTGTCGATTTATCGAAGGAGGGCGTTTGACTTTTTTTTTATTTCTCAGAGTTTCGAGATCTCGTTTTATTTTCGTCAGTGACAGCAGCGAGCGTTCGGCCTGACCTCCGGTGAATTTAGAAAGGCTGAAATTCAGGGCGAAGGTCGTCGACGTCACGGCGGCGTCTCTCGTATCTCAAGGATCATAAATACACTAGGAGGTCTTCGGTGTATACGACAATAGCTCCTTTGAAAATCTGATCTGCCTCGTCTCTCTGTACGTTTGTTAGAAGCTGCTGCCGTCTCTTTTTAAGAGACGCAGAGGAGGAAGCCGTTCCGATATCCCGGGGAACGTGATCGCCAGGTGGTACGATTGTTTAGACTCCACGGCTCGTTAATCGTTACTTCGCTGAGGGGGAGGGATATACGCGTGGATCTTAACTGTTTGTACATTCACCATCAAATTCAACTTGGCGCGTTACAATTTATTCGACTTTCCTCTTCGTGCCTGTCCGACTATGTATCATTTTAGTTGTACATACTTTTTCCTCCGTAGTTGCGTTACTCAGTGCTACGATGAAACGATCGTTTAGGAATGCAGGATCGACGAACTTCGCGTCGCGACGGTTACGTAACCGGTCTTTTAACGTTTTTCAATTCTCGTTGAATACGCTTACACGTTAATCGGTCCCTATATTGGTTATTTTATTCAATTTGCTTTATCACGTACATCGTGACTTGACTGTGATTAGGATGCTTCGTAGCACGCGCTAACAGACGCCAAGGATTCTCTCTGGCAACATTTAAGCGCTAGATGCCCTTTGTTGCTTTATTGACTTTGGCAGTACCGTGCTTCCTCTTCTTTTTTTTCTTTTCAAAATTCTTGCCAACCGTCTATTCCACATTGCCAGAATAGACGTTAAGATCGCGCCCGTTCGTTGTGACAACCGTGCACCTGTCAGCTGACATTTTCACTAATAAATATCTAACGCTAAGACGTTCGCGATTTCTACGTGAATTACGAAATGCTTTTGACTAACGTGTAATATTCATTTATTGACACTGATGTGTTGATTAATTTTTTATCCGTACGATCGTCTTACACCTTGTAACTTGATATCCTATGGATCGATAAATCGTCACACGGAGACACGATTAATATTAATCACGCTCACTGACACAGGTTACGCGAGCTGCGACGAGATGAGAGCTTGTCAAGTTTGTTACCGGCCCGTCCTTATCGATTACTTCCGATTGGCTTAGTGCAACCACGGATAGCGCATTATCCCACGTAAATATCCGTCTCGGTACTTTAAGGGCGGAAGGCGCTCGTCTGTTTGACGGAGCGCATGTCGATCGAACGTCGAAGAGAAATTTAAGTGACGTATAACAGGAAAGTATACCCTCCAGGGGGTCAGACTCTCGCAGCGTTCCGTACTTAAAGGGGTTAAGTGATACACCATTTGTCGATTAGGAGAAAAATATATATATTTTTAAAAATCTCGAAATTTTAGATAATAGACTTTTTTGCTTTGCTCTCTTCACATTTTATCCTTACGTTGAATCCGTCGCAATAGGTAATATTTAGCACGGTATTTATTTTCGTGTTGTTATCCGATTTAAATGTTCATCCAGGAAGTTTGCCAGCTCGCGTGAATTTTCCTCGGTTGAAATTACGTCAGACGATCCAGGATGAGGTTATGAGGATTTAAACGTGTATACGAAATAGGATACGAAATAGGATTAAGGTAAAGTGTTTATTTTTAGTTATTGCTCAGTTGCATTTACAGTTATTATATCGGAATTTTTGGTTATACAGTGAGCACGTATCGTGGCACGTGGTGAGCGCGTTGTTTTATCAGATTGTTCAATCGTTTGTTTACGGTGCTTTTACAAAACACTTTTTGTTTGCGAAAATTACTCGTCCGCGCAGATTTTTTAATACTTCGTCAGTATTGTTATTGTGCTGCGCTGTCGTCATACGAAATTTTGTTACGCGCGCGATCGTTGCGTAACGACGACAATATCGGAGCAGGTGTTCGTCCTCGTTTTGTCGCGTTTGCATATACCGACGTGTAACAATAGCGTCATGAAAACTTATCATTTGTCATTTACTAACGCTGCGACCTTCGCTTTTGCGTGTTTCAGACATTCCGGACATTCCTGAAAATATCAAAAACTTACGATCCCTCCAAGTGGCCGACTTCAGCAGTAATCCGATACCCAGGTTTACTATTATTGACTTATCTTTAACGTTATTTGACAATTGCCTCTTTATTTTTAACGTTTTAATCGAGTCGATTCCATCGATTTATTTACATCGAGCAACTGTCGTAATTATTTGCATAACAAAGAAATTTTTTTTTTCTTCAAGAACTGATTTGCACAGCTTGTAGATGTACGGTATATTCTTGTTCTACGAGGTTGCTCCTTTTTTTGTTATTAATTTATGTGGGATCCTTTGTGCGAAGTAAATTGTTTATTGTTGAGTGGTCGGTTATCAATTTTTTAAATGCATTTCTTTATGACCCCTCCCACCTTACGTCATAAGAGGCTGCAATTTGGTTTGTTTGCTGTGTGTACTTTTAGATTTCGCTATGCAATTCTGACGTTTAATGTATATTTGTAACTCATTACAGACTGCCAGCTGGTTTTGTACAGCTGAGGAACTTGACAGTGCTTGGTCTCAATGACATGTCCTTGACGAACTTGCCACCTGATTTTGGAAGGTAAGGTTCGTGAGATATGGAAATATCGTTACGCCAATCTCCATGTTTTGCTGGCAATCTTTTCTTTGGGACTTGATTGGCGTGTTCGAGTAATTTTATTGCTATTGTGCACAACAGATAAGCTTGATTCGATCGTGCATACTTATTTTAGCTTGGAAGCATTGCAATCGCTGGAGCTGCGAGAAAATTTGCTCAAGTCGCTGCCAGAGTCGCTGTCGCAGCTTTCAAAACTCGAACGACTGGACCTTGGCGACAACGAAATCGAGGAATTGGTGAGTCGCCATTTTATATGCATTATGTGTGTACGTCGATCACACGGTTAGCTATATTTAATGTGTGATTATTGTATGCATACACCCAGGTTTGGGTTCATGAGTTACTTTGTATTGTTGCATTTATATGCAACGATACTTGCGTTTTTTATAATAAATTGAAGGAAACATAATCCGTACGTTAGAAATTGTTTGCGAATAGGGATAATATGATAAAGTATAATTTTTCAAAGTTTCCTTACTGTCCAATTATTGTATCATTTATGGTTTTTTTTTCGTTAGCCAATACACATAGGGAAGCTGCCAGCTCTACAGGAATTGTGGCTCGATCACAATCAGCTACAGCACTTGCCGCCCGAAATTGGCGAATTGAAAACATTGGCATGCCTTGACGTGTCTGAAAATCGATTGGAAGATTTGCCCGACGAGATCGGTGGCCTTGAGTCGTTAACCGATTTACACTTGTCGCAGAACGTAATAGAAAAATTGCCAGATGGTCTTGGCGAACTTAAAAAATTGACCATCCTGAAGGTTGATCAAAATCGGTTGTCCATCCTGAATGCGAATATCGGCAGGTATGAAATTTTTGTGTTCTCCTTGTTTATTCTACCGAAACGTGGTTTTATAGTAACTTTTTATTGACCTATTAATTGCGATTTAATTTGATATCTCAATTACAGGTGCGAGAACTTACAAGAATTGATTCTTACGGAAAACTTCTTATTGGAACTTCCGGTTTCTATAGGAAATCTTCTTAACTTGAACAATTTAAATGTAGACAGAAACAGTTTGCAGTCCTTGCCAACGGAAATAGGTATAACAAAAATGCATTATTTTTTTTGTATTGTTATTTTTCACAAAAGACATTGCATGAACTGTACTATAGTAATTTCAAAATTATTTTATCTAATTGTCACTCTGTTAATTTAAGAATATCTGGGTTTTGTATATACTGGTGCCCTCTGCAGAAAGTTCTGTGTACTATAAACTTCTTGACAAGCGCTAACAATGTGATATTCCTTATCCTAGGAAACTTGAAGAAACTCGGCGTCCTCTCATTGAGAGATAACAAGTTACAGTATTTACCTACCGAAGTAGGACAGTGCACAGCTTTGCACGTACTCGACGTATCAGGCAATAGGTAACAAAATTGAAAAACAAAAACAATATGTTTGAAAAGTATGTTTGTAATTCTAAAAACAAATGTATTGATCAGGTTACAGTATTTACCATACTCGTTGATCAATCTCAACTTAAAAGCGGTATGGCTGAGTGAGAATCAAGCACAGCCAATGCTAACCTTCCAGACAGACGTGGACGAGGAAACTGATCAGGAAGTGTTGACATGTTTTCTACTACCTCAGCTGGAGTACCATGCGGATGGTCAGCATGTCGGTAAGTGCAAAAACAGATCCCAATGAAGGTTATCATTATTTAACGAAGTTTTATATTGATAAGAGATTTGTATATTGAATATTACTGTCTGAATTTATTCACAGTAGGTTCCGAGATGCGAGAGCTGGTGAGCAGCGATGACGAAGGCTGGCAAGAACGCGAGGCTTCTAGGATACACTCCGTCAAGTTCACCGACGAGCCACCGGAAGCCGATAAGGAGGTGAGCACGCTGCTCCTAGCAACAACTTCCTCCTCTTATTTCTTGTCAGGTTTTGTACAGCTGATCAGGATTATCTTTTGCCTGCGTCGAGCTGATTCTTATAGTTCACTTAACTAGAATCAGCTTAACGGTGAACAGTCGGATGTAACCTGATGTATTTTATTGTTGTTTTTCTGTTGCACGCATAAGGTATTATTTATATGACATATACTACATTAAAGCACAGGGTTGTCGCTACGGCGAATGATCCATTATTCTTCACTTACAACGCACGAGACCATTCTACTGGAATTAGTATTTCAATGGGATGTGAAATGGTTTATGGTTGGTGTTAATGCTGTGAATAACTGGGATAACGTTTGTCTTACTCCTGGATCTACAAAATTGTACAAAATACCATGGAATGAATGCGTAATTGTAGCAATAACTTTTTCCCTCGCCTTGTACATATGCAGAGGCAATATTTTTCTCATTACCAAACTTTTTATTTATGATGGATGTATATTCAAAGGCAGTTTAATTTGCATGAGACTGGAAGGCGTGACAGTGTGAATGCCATTTCAGGTTGTATTTAATGATAACAACGATTGCTTCGAAATGGACAATTCTTAAAGACTTTTGTACATGCTTTTTTTTATATTAGCGTACTTGGCTAATAACATTCTTTTTAGTTATCTACTTGAGTAGTACTATACATATACTGGAATCCTGGTAAATATATATATTTTTTGACAATTCATCTATTTTTAATTTCGATTCCTACCGTAGTTATTATTCTTTCATAGCGATGTTTTAAAAAAAGGTCAAAAAAATATCTGAAATACACTGAAAATAACCAAAGTGATATTTGGAAAGTAACGATTCACGGAAAAGTAAACATTGCTCGGACGCATTTCAAAATATTCGGTTATCTTTGGCATGATTGCATCAGTGTTCAATATTATCTTGGTTATTTGCGTATACAGTTTATGACAAGCAAGACGATCGAAAATTTTCATTTTCTTCATATATCCTAATACAGTAAGAGTTTAACAGTTAAATGATAATGGTACGTTATTGATTGCTTATACTTAACGTTTACAGCGAAAAGCGTAGCAATCGCAGTTGATGATTCTTCTCGATTAATATTTTTCGTTAAAAGCAGTACGACAGTTGAATTTACAGATTGTGAACGGGATGTGAAAACACACAACGATACTATTAATTTATTTTGCTCGTTTCATTACACACTACTCGCAACATACATACGTATAAGTATTATTACACGTTACATATTGTTTTGTCGCTTACAATTCTCATGGCTAGATAGTAATTTTCTGTTTTATTCACGTGACGAATGTATATCATTTCTACTATCTCTATCAAGCATCTCATGTTTCTTGATTAAGTGGCTTTCGCTTCCGTTTATGATTTCATCCAAATCCTCAGTACGCAATAAATGTTTTGTTCGTTACAGACGCCATTCGTACGACAGAATACACCACATCCTAAGGAACTGAAAGCAAAGGCTCACAAGCTGTTTAGCAAAGGAAAGAATGACAGTCGGTCGGGATCAACGGATGAACAAGTAATTAATTAAATTATCAATCACTATACTTAAAGTATTAAATCAGACTTTGATATTCTACTGATGATATGCGTATGCTAATATATTATTTCTAACGAACCTGCTTCTTGCTCCATAAAAATATAATTCACAGAGTGGCAAAATCTTTAACGTGAATGCATATTTGTTTGACTAGGATGTCTCGCAGACCTTCGGATTAGACAAAACCGAACCTGATCTCTTGAACAAGTCCAGGGATAGCGAGCAACTCCCTGAGGAGCATCAAGCACATGCAGTCAATCACGAGGATGCTGCAGCAACAGCAAAAGTCTCGATGTCAGGAATTTCAATAGAAAATACAAACAGTCAGACAACCACTGAACCGGATGCCGTCTCCGCACAGCACACGACAGATTCTCCTCATCCAACAGCCGTAAGCCAATCGACGTTCCTAAATCTTCATTGACATATTGGAATAACACAAGTGTGGGCAAATACGGAATTTACACTGATTAAATTTCAAGTACAAAATACAGTTTGATCATCATAACTTTTCATCTAACTAACATATGATGCAACTTTGCTCACCCTTGTGCTTTCTGGAATGACAATCGACGTTGCACGCTGTGTTGTTCCGTATTCTAATCGATGAACCGATTCGACGTAGGATTCTCACGTTATCGTTCCTGTTGGCAGATTTGAAAAATTAAACCCTGTTACAGATAACACCCAAATAATTCAACAGTTCTCGTATCCGTACCCCTAGTATCTTTTCTACATGAAATCAAGAAAATATACATATATTTTTTTTCTTGTAAACTCACTACAGCCTATGACCATGCGTGAAACGATGGCTGTATTTGAAAAGTTTTTCGAGATGACAGAGATGAGAAAAATGAACAAAATGGCAGATTAATATGGACGGATGGCTGTCGTCATTGTTGTTGACGTATTTAAAATGGCAATCGTCAGGTCGTAGGAATCCTGTTGCAGGATGTCGAGGTCGATCTGTCGTTATCAGAAGCAAGGGGTGGGGATGAGGATGAATCCGAAGGCGATGACTTGCAGAGGCATGTCGAGTTTTCTGTAACTGAGGAACCTGATAACGAGGGTGGGGGCGACGCCGGCAGGCCGAACAGGCTTCACCGTCGCGACACCCCCCATCATCTGAAAAACAAGCGTATCCATACGTCGATTGACAAGGAGAAGGTCGCTACCATCATTGCACAGGTCAGCCTCCTTAACCCCTTTGACACGAGAACCTGACCTATTGAACTATTGACTTTTATGACCTTTTATTTTACACGCTTGTCTTCTCGTTAATTCGTTCTCCGGTGCCAATGGGTTAACTACTAATTCGTCATATGTGTGAATTATGCTTCGCCGATGTATCAGTTTTCGACTGCTGTGTGTTGACACTGCAATTTTTCATGCTCACCCACACCACGGATAAACTTGTTACCATTCTCCCTTTTTTTTTCACCATAAGCCAGTCCAGTCGTTCGTGCCATCTCCAGAAGTCATTCATTGAGACACAAATCTTTGTTACAGAGCCATCCTCTCGCGTGTTACGTGCTGCATAAACTTTTTAAACATTTTTTTAATAATTGTTTTCCGTAGTTACAATTCTTCTGTCATTCAATAGTGCCGGGCGTTTTTTTTTTGTGCTCCATTGATATCTGCATCGTATACTTATTTATTGTTGGTTCTTCGCACTCTGAGAGATTCCTAAAATTTGTCCAAATTTTATTATACTTGTGGAATCTTAAGTTTGTCTTTTAGACCTACGTTAATTTCAGTAGAATGTGACATTCTTGAGTTAGACTTTTTAATTATGAATTTCAGAACTGACATATGGTATTTATTTAAATGGTTTTTTAAAAAATATTTTCAGTAGTAATAACAGCTTTCTTTTCTCGTTGTATATAATTACTGGTAATAACATGACTGTCAAGTTGTTAGATTTGATCACATTACCATAGAACTGACTATGTAAAATAATCAAAATCATACTTCCTCGACTTCTATAGGCTCTCCTAAAGAAGAGCGACGAGTATCCAGCTTCCTTACAAGCGCCAACGGAATCAGCCGAGGACCTTCACAGTCAAGGTATGCTGGAGAATTTAAGCTTTGCAAAATAATTTTGTGCTAATAATTAACAAAGTTAATCAAGGAAACAATATTGCTCCACCGAAGCATGCAAGATTTATGTTAATATACACAGTTCATTCGAAATAGTCTGAAATATTGAGAAATATCGTTATTGCTTATTTAGTATCTTGTTTGATAGTGTTCATTGTAAACTGCCTTGCTTAATTTTCCAATGGCTTATACAAAAATATTCACCAAACAGCACTGTAATTTAACGTTGCATTCATTCAAATCTATCACTGCTTTTACGTATGGAACTTTACTATCTGATCATTTTGTGCTGTCGTTCAATATGAATCCGTGTTGTGGGTGCAGCTCCAGTGGTGAAATAGTGGGAGACGTGATACCGATAAGATATCATTGTACTAGAACCGTTGTGTTATCAACGGGGAATAATCTGATTCCACAAACCGTGTAGTATACGAGCTTATTACGTTTTGAGCATTGAAGCTAAACTTTGAAGTGCGTGCAGTTGTTGAAAGGTGCGGGTCGAATATTATTGCGGGTTGCGTATGAAATGGGTTGGTGAAATAAAAAGTGTTCTGCTTTGATTAATTAGTCAGAGATGCCGCGACGATTCCGAATATTTGTTAGGAACAAGGGCAAAAAAGGTGACTGAATTGTTGTTACATGGTTGATGTAATTGGATAGGGAGTGGCGAGAGCCTTTTACATACTGTTTGTTAACGTTAATTAATCTTTCTCGTGTTGCCTTATGTTTGAATTTGATTATTTTTTTCCAGGCGCAGCATCCGACGCGGAACCGTCGATAGAAGTTCGAGAGGAACAATATGAGATTCATATAGAAAGAACGACAGGTGGTTTAGGTTTGTCGATAGCTGGTGGAATTGGTTCAACGCCGTTCAAAGGCGACGACGAAGGCATCTTTATCTCGCGAGTTACGGAAGGTAAATTCAGTGTTGTACATTCGTTTAGACTTGGTTTTTTGCGCAAACCTGTGCAGATATCGCTGTAGGATACTGTGGATTCTAATTATGATTTAATAAATTTGGATCCTCTCTATCAGGTGGTCCTGCTGATTTGGCTGGTTTGAGGGTCGGCGACAAAGTTATATCCGTAAATGGCGTCTCTGTCGTTAATGTCGATCATTATGATGCCGTTGAGGTACTGAAGGCTTGTGGACGCGTCCTAGTGCTTGTCATTGTAAGGGAAGTCACCAGGATAGTGCCACCATCCGAACAGGTAACGTATCATAATACTTAAATTCTTGTAATCTTATGTATACATAAATGATTTTGGTTGAAGGATTTAATTAGTAAGTTTAATAATATTTTAATAATTTAATAGATTTCTACAAGAAAAGATTCGGTGTGCTCGAGTCTGAGCACGAGCCGAGCGCCGAGCGCGACATCTTATGTCTCATCTACGGCACTCTCTCATACATTGGAGAACGGAGAGAACCATGGACCACATGAAACCATCACAGTGAGTATAATTGTGATTGGAGAAATACTAGGAGTTGATTTAATTTCAAAGAATTTTTATATTATTTTCTCTTCGTTTTAGACAAAAAAGATTCCTGAGCCTATCCCGGCGGCACGAGCGAGTGGCGAACCTCTAGTTCCCGTTCTGGTGCACACAACGTTAATTCGAGATCAAAATGGTCTTGGATTTAGCATTGCCGGAGGAAAGAGTTCTCCGCCATTTAAAGATAACACCGATGTAAGGTTTATAAGAACGAGCGCTTTGCGGTATATCAATTTTTAACGAATCGCATGTAAAACTTTACTATATTTTTAGGCCATATTCATATCAAGAATAACGGACGGCGGTGTCGCGCAAAAGGATGGCAAATTGTTAGTCGGCGACAAAGTGATATCGGTAAGTCGAAATTTTTTAAATTTATTATAAAAGCTCGCTACTTCTGCATTTGTATAACGAATGTAGTTTCAACTTTTGGGTCTGTTATATAAGAGAATTTCATTCCTTTCAAGATAAACGGCGTCGAAATGACGGGTGCCAAGCACGAGCAAGCAGTCGCCATGTTGACGGGCTTAGAAAGATTTGTTCGATTAGTAGTCGAACGCGAGATACCACTTTCGCAAGCGAATCCGGCGACGATGACGACGACAACGCCCTCGGAGAAGTCCCCCCGTGTAATTGGTGCTCCTCGTCCATACACGGGTCTCTACAGTGCAAACAGTTACATGGCGAACAGACCAGGTTACGCAGGCTACCGGCGGTCTTTAGACGCTGATAGAGCCCTGTCGTCGAGTCCGACCTCAAAGACTCCGCCACCGACGAAAACCGAACCAGTCAACGGTCTGCCCAAGATGAATGGCGTAAGCGAGAACGCAAATCCACCAATAAGCATTTCACCAGTGCCTACACCTACTGCCAATCAAACGCAACCACATCCATCACAACCGCTACCCGCTCCACGACTTAGTGTATCTCATGGGGTCTCGACGTCAACCGAAGGACCCATACCCGCACCTACAGCAACAACAACAACTGCAACTGGCACGACAGCTGGTAGCGCTCCTGCAGCTGGTACCACAACTACAAGCAGTGGTCCTGCAGCAGGTGCTACTACTGCGGACGCGAGGCCTAACTCACCTCAGGATGACATACAGGTACCGAAGCCAATCACCAACGAGGAATTTCAGGCCATGATTCCCGCTCACTTCCTACGACCTCCGACCTCCTCGCCCTCGCCAGACTCCCACCAGGGTCCCATCGTCACGGTGACGATCAAGCAGCCCGAGAACCTCCCGGGGGACATTAACTTCCCCCCGGCACCTACTACGCTCGGTAAAGTCACCGAGACCATCACAAAGAGCACTCTTACGGAGACGGTCGTGACACGCGTCACCGACAACCACATGCTTCAGCCCGTCATCATTGAGGTACGTGCCTCGTAGATTGATGACGCATGAAACGTACCGACGCGATTCTATTTCTCTTCTCATTTACATATTTATTGTTTTTCATTTTCATTTCTTTTATATCCATTGTTACTTACCATCATTTTTAATTTTACACTATTGCGTTCAATACGTTGTTTTCTTCAACGACTAAATTCCTTTTATTTTTAATTTAATTCCTTTTTTTTTTAGATAATCGATTCCGCATAATTTGATTATTTTCAAGGATAATATTTCTTTGCAATTTAATTAGTATGACATAACATTCTGGTATTTCATGTAGCACAGCGTATTGACTTTTGAACGCAACAGTCCTTTAATTATGAATCTTGACAGCACCGGTTCTCTTTGAATCTCTGTATTACAGTTGACGCTAAGGTAGAATGTGTATCACGTAGAGATGATTTATTTGAATGCATGAGTCATACTTCGTATGGTTTGTAAACATTAGAAGTACACATTCCATAGATATGGTTTATACCTACTAGAGTCTAATCTTGGACATTTTGATAAAAACACGTCCTTAAAAGTGTAGGAGCAATACTGGTTCTCCAAAAATGTTATTACACCATAAACAAGAAGGTCATTTTTCGTCGTTAGTATGTACTAGTCATATACGTATTCACATTTACGTTTTAATATAAACCTAATGATCATTGATACGAAGACAAATCTGTGATTGTTTCGATAATTTCGTAATATTTTTATTTTCATAATGACCCACTTAATAGGAACGTTTTTTTATCACTTTGACTATTGTTGTAAATGTTGTATTAGAATATCTAACATCAATTTTGGTTGAACAATATTTGGCCGTTACTAAAATTACTAATGTCCTGAATGGAAATAATGAATTTTATTGTGCAGTTCCGGTAGTATGTGTCACCAATGGGATCAACGAATTACCCTTCTTTCAGCTCGCTGCATGTACTAAAAAAAACTATATAATTACAGAGGGGATACATTTGGAACTCTTAACCATATGTACGTTATTAAAATGTGTCGAACACGCGTTAACCTATTTCCATGTGAGGATGATAATCACACTGGTTGATAAACACAGTTAACAAATTAAGTTGAAGAAAAAAAATATATGAAATTGAAATTAATGCAAGAACCCACTAAATTCTAAAAAATTTAATCGTTCAATGAACTGTCAAAGAGACTGATGACGAAAACAAATTTTATTACGTCAACATGTAATCATTGTTAAATATTTTTAAAGCCTACGATCTTTGAAATATTATTGGAAAGTATTTCATAACGATTCTAGTACTCTAGCATTCGACGTACATGAAAAAAATCTTTTTAAACCTATGGGTTTTTCACAACCATATTTAATCTGTCGTGTGTATTCTTGAGTAAGACTCGCTTAATCGTGTGTATTTGCGGTTTTATATATTTAGATTGATTTTAATAGTCTGTACGTGACCGAATGTCGACCTTTGGCCGGAAATAATATAAGAGACATTTAACCTACTACGATAGAATTCGACACAAGAATCTTGTGTAAAGGTATTATGTGGCTTCTGCATGTTTAGTGATGTCGTTTGTCGTATATTAAGTTTTTTTTTTTTTTTTTCTCTTACTATCTTGCATACATATCGGTGTTCAGTGTTTAACGATTTATATACGATTGTAATAACCAGTCTACCAATTGAAATTAATTTTCTATTGATTAATCGATTGACATTAACGCTTGATTGGCAACTTATATTGAGACATTATATCCTCTGGCATGGAAATAGGTAAGTATTAAGATAGTTATTTGTGTCAAACATCTAACATCACTCTTGCAGTTCAAGAATTGTCACAAATTCGTTTAGTAATTTGAACACAAACAAAATTTTCCTGTGTCCCATTACAATACGTATAAACTTAATGACTGAAAGTACTGGAACGTCTTATGCTGAAAGGACACTCTTCACGTATCACAAGACAAAGTAACTTTTGTCAAAGCACCTGTGTAGCTGCTTGTGACTATTCTTGCACTTGTATTCACTACCAGGCATTATTAATGAATTATTGATTAACGCACAAGTCCTCACAGCATCCTGCAATGCCAATGAAAGGTAGTATCCTTCCTAGCAAATTTCTATACATTATTTCACATAACTTCTAAAGGTGCGAATAGACTCTAGGATACTATCAAACGTCAAAGCAGTGCTTACGTCACGGCACGATGAAGCTTTAAATCGCAAAAGCTTTTGAGAAGCACGTTTCATCTAACAAAAAATCAGTGTCTCTTCGTACCTCAAGTATAAAGCATTGCTTAATTCCTGGCATTCCTCTAACAACTTAAAAGGACTTGTTCGTTTTGGTACTTACTATACTCTTGGTATTATCTTTTAATGAGATTAATAAAATAAATACAAATTTGACAAAGTCAAACGAACAGATCCTCTTACACCTTCGAAATAAGCTAAGTTATATATACCATGTTCTCTCATGTTTTTATCAGTTTTCGAATCTGCTATTTTTTTTCTATGGACTCTCGGCGTTCCAGCCTGCCCACTCCTATCCTCTACAAAAATTGGCCTTGACTGTTTTTCAAGTTGAACGATGTAAAGATACAAAGCGTCATGTTTTCATTGACATCATCGAACCTACTTCAATTGAAATCCTAAAATTTCGTACCTTCCCTACAGCAACGCGAGAGACACTATATGATTTTGTTTTTTGACTACTCGGTCAGGCAGGATTTGTGTTTCTGACTATAGACAATGTTTAGGATGTGGTGCTCGTGAAGGAGGGCTCCCTGGGATTCAGCATAATCGGCGGCACTGATCACTCGTGCACACCATTCGGTGCCAAGGAACCAGGAATCTTCATATCTCACGTAAGTAACAAGTTTGCGATTTAAGATTTTGATGTCTACAGGTTTATTACTTATCTTTCTATAGAGCTCGGATTTGAAAACAAATTTTTTTTTATTACCAGGTTGTACCCGGTGGTATTGCAGCAAAATCCGGAAAGTTGCGAATGGGTGACAGGATACTGAAAGTTAATGGCACTGATGTGACAAAGGCAACGCACCAGGAAGCCGTGATGGAGTTACTACGACCGGGTGATTCCATAATGCTCACCGTCCAACATGATCCACTGCCAGACAGTTATCAGGTAAGCGATGATTCGCCAGACAATACGTGCAAACTGTGTTGTATACTATATTTGGTATGCAATAATATACAATAAAATATAGTTCCTTGCTTTTGCATCGCGTTATCATCGTATAGTTTGTCTGTTTGTTTACTGATTTTGTAATTATAATTATTTGTGACGTGTTGGATGACCACCGGATTCTGAGAACGTCAAGTCAACTTCTTGTGGCTTTACTTTATTTGTTGTTTGCGTATGAAGTTAGATCAACTTCCAGCAGATCATAAATAAGTGGGAGTTCTTTTCCCATGTAACTGAGTTCAAGGTCTGGGCACCTTGTGCTTCTATAGGAGCAAATGTAACATGTTTACAATGTAAAACTCTAAATCTTGTCAATATTTTAAAATCCGATGATCTTTGAAAAAAAAATCTACGGGAAGTTAGATCATTTTTTCAATCTTGATTTTTTTTGGTGTAAAATTGTGAGAATTCTTACTAATACGTATCAGGAAATATAGAACTCAGTTGCGAAGACAACTCCTATTTATTTGTGATCTGCCGGAAGTTGATCTGCTAACTTCACACGCATATTCGTTATGGCATTCTTATAGACGAAGTCTTTCTCTATATTGTTTTAAAATTTGTATACACATGCATGACATCGGGCACCCAAAATAGAGCATAGCTTTGATTGGCTAATGCTTTCGTTTTTTCCCCTTATTGGAGTAACAAGTACTTAATACGATTCTCGAATCAATTGCTTTACATTCAAAGTTGATTTGTTTAGTTTTATTTACTTTGATCAAAACTGAAGGAATTTTTAGAGTGATGCCCCTTTCTTTAATCTTGTGTATTATGCTATTGTTTTTAATAGAATTCCTGTAAATTACATTTACAATTTAATGCTACGGTTCTTATCTGTTGTGGTTCTTCTTCTCACATAATGCAATTTCGTATAATTTATTTCGCAAGCTGGTCGAAATAGAGTACATCCCTGTGACAGTAAGTACTCAAGTGTTCTGACCTGTCATTTTCATTTTTCACTATTTAATTTTTGCTCTCACTCTACCATCACGCGGACACTCTAATCGAATGCTGCCGCACTATACTACATACTCTTGCTTATCTGTAGATTCTATTTGTTTTCACATTAGGAATTCGCATTCTATCTCATCGAAGTGCTTATCCCTGTGCTTAACGCTATTACCTTATGAAAGTAATTGATTATCGCGTGAAAAATATTTTCAAATAATTGTGTAAAGTCGTCATCGAAACGTTCACAATAAATAAGAAATTGAGATCAGAGTATGATATTGTAATAAAACATACTTTTCATCGTCAGTTCGATGATCGAAGAAAAATAACGAATAAAATAAAGCAAAAGATAATACTTATTCGAAAGTACTTAAATTGTATTATAATAAAACTTTTGCTTTGTAGGAGTTAGTTATAGTGAAGGAACCGGGTGAGAAGCTTGGTATGCATATAAAAGGTGGCCTGAGGGGTCAACGTGGAAACCCATTGGATCAAACGGACGAAGGAGTCTTCATTTCGAAGATCAATTCAGGTGGCGCCGCCAAGCGGGACGGAAGGTTGAAGGTATATCTTGTAAAAATGACTCTTCTAAAAAATTTCTGTTGAAAAATGTATCTAAACTACCGAGTATAAATGCAGGTTGGCATGAGGTTGCTGGAAGTAAATGGTACCTCGTTGCTGGGTGCCACGCACCAGGAGGCAGTGAATATTCTACGTTGCTCCGGGAATACGATCACTCTAGTCGTTTGCAAGGGCTATGACAGGAACGAGGTGGAGCACGTGTTGACAATGTCTGGCGGCAGGGACTCCAAGGAATCGAGAACGTCCCGAGAGTACAGGGATTCTACAACCGACGGTATCAAGAGCCTTTCCCAGAGTATATCCAGTCTTGATCGGGACGACGAGGATGCTGCCACCTTGCGGCAGGAACAAGAGATGAAGGCTGAACTCGTCGCCTGGGAACAGGAAGAGAGAGAACGCGCTCTTGTTGAACACAGGGAAAAGTCTACACCGGAAAAGGTTAGTATTTCTCTCTCTTTTAATAGTAGCAGCAGTAATTAGCTTTAAATTAGATTATATATTTTCATTTTGAGTCTATGGAATAACTGCATGTATGTCCTTGTTATATATGTATGTAGTTTGAGACATTTGAAAATTTCATTTTTCCAACACTTGTCTAATACGTATTTCTGAATTGTCTAGGTGCTGGATGTCGTGAGGGCTGCAGAGTCGCTCGTAAACAAGTCTAACAGCCCTGTTGACATGATGGTTGCGCCAAAATCACCAGGCGGAACGAAGGACCTAAAAACGACCACAATTGTCATGAGCAAACACACGCTGGCACCACAAAATCCAACTGTAAGTAGTTGTCCGTTTAGATTACTCAAGTTTTACGCATCCATCAGTAATATGACTGTGGTGGCATGCATGATCTCCGATGCATGTCCGTTTCTCTGCATGACATTCATTTTATATTAATGGGCCTTAAGTAATTTTTTAATTTATATTTCTTAATAATTCTTGTCGTGCAGACACGACTAGCTTTCGTTTTTCTTTTTTAATTCGCTATTCAAGTCCTTTATCTCAGTACCTTTATATTAATATTCTACGGCTGTATTGTATTGAATGCAAATATGATTATTTTTATTATATTTGCACGCACAGTTTACAAATAACGAAAAAGAATATGTCGCATGCGGTTGATCGCATCTTCGAGAGTATCCTTCTTTCGTACACTGCTAAGCGTTGTTACTGTAGGAGTTTGAAATTGGCAATCGAAAAAACAATGTAGTATATAAATTCTTAATAATCTCAATCGTTATCAGTATGTCTGATTGGAGACGAGTAAACGTAATAAATGGGCTTGCGAAATGCTCGATTCAAACGACGCCGATAGCCGACTAAAACATACATAAACTAGGACAATAAGTAGGAAAGTAAACCTACCAAAAAATAGTCTTTATTTCCAGGATACACGAATAACTTGTGATATCTTTGAAAACCTTTATCTGTGCAATTTTCATAAACATTTCATATGTTTCTCAGCACTCTACCGCCTATTAGTTTCGTCTTTTTGTACTTTCTTCGTAAATTCTAAATGGCGCAAAATAATGCAATACTCCCACCCTCGTATGACTGCTCGCGAAAGAAAGTCATTGATGTGCTTTCAGTCTTTTCACAAGACTGAAAGAGTCACACAGAACTCTGCATACGTTTCGTAAATTATATCTATAATTTCTCAGCTTACCGTTAATCAATGAACAATAATAGTAATAATAATAACAAGAGCAACAACAACAACCGAATACGATCGGAATTCTTCAACGTGCACAACTGGACGAGGACACGCCTATGTATCATAGCCATAACGGCATGTAAGATTTTCAATTTCAAATACCCTGCTAACCTCATCGACAGTAGCGTTGAAGATTATCGTAATTTTCGTTACAATTTGAAACATCATTGTAATAGCGTCGCGCAGGCGTGTCTACGCGAGACGTGAATTGATCCATCGAGTAGCACCCATATAAAGTGCGTTATTCTCAAGTTCGTCAAAAGGAGAAATAACACCAAAAAAAATTTCAAAAATTTTTGAAAATAGCGCCGGAAGTTGGCTGTATTAAAAAAAAAAAAAGAGAATATACCCATAATTCGTTGGACCCGTCCGTTTAATTGAAACGTTGCATTTCCGAGAGCAAGCGAGAATGCCGAATTTTGTTAAATGTATTTTTATCTCGTGGAGCAGCTTGCATACTGCATACATACTATACATTTACATAGATTACTGTATAAATCTATATACATTCACGTAAATGGTCATTATCCGTCTAATACTAATTTCTTTTAAATGGCGCATGGAACGTAACTATATATATACATATAATTGTCAGTGTTTGTAGCGAGGCATGTACGCTCACGTGAGAGCCCGAAAAGAGACGACGGTGTTTGACGTGTTTACAGACGATGGAAGGCGATAGCGCCGCCTTGACCACCCTCTAACAGGAGCGAGACATCGATTCTCCCCTCATTATCCCTGCGTCAACTTCCGTCGCGACGCACACGCCGGCCCTCGATCCCGTAAAGCCCAAGTAAAAGGGCACAACAGCGTTCGCGGCTGATTTACACGTGTACTCTGTCCTCTGAGTGAGACTGTGCAAATGACTGTACGAGGGATGCGTGCCGTGCGAGAACGCGTGTTCCCCGTGTCTTGACACGTGCGCGGACCAAGAGAAAGAAACTCGAAAGAGATATAGTGGAGAGTGGATGGAAAGGAAAAAAGTGAAATTCACTATAATGAAAAAGGAGGCGAGGAAACGCACGAGGAAAAGGAAGGATATACAAGCAGACGAAAGAAGCAAGAAGAAATGTGTAAACTACGTTTGGATCCTCCGTGTATTGTGTGACGCGTCGTCGTTAATAAATGCACTTATTATTATTGCTCCGTCGGTAATACAGATATACTGCCATTACATTACAAAGCGAACGATCCGTGTCGATTGTCAGTGACGGATTTAAAGTCGGCGAAATTTTGAACGCGATCACCATGTAAATCGAGCGACGACGATGACGATAATAATTGATAATAATAATGATGACGATGATTCCTTGCGCTGCGTTCCACGCGATATTTACGCGAATACTCCTGGCCCGGTGTAACGCTGATATTAACGATAACGATAACAATAATAACGCTAATTCGTAACGAAGCATCGTCGACGAATTACATCTTCCTAGCCAATCGCGAAAGAACATCCTTGTACAGGTGTACGCGTGAGAGAGACTGGCGTTCCCGTTTCATATGCATACAAGTAAGAATTAGCTGCTAATCGATTTGATTAATGATGATAACATTTCTGTGATAGGTAGAGACAGAAAGTTCAACATTCTGACTGTTCGACGGAAAACGCTGTAACGGAGTATGTTGCGATGCGCGCGGATTGCCAGAACGACAGGGCAGTTAGTAAAAGCGCTGTCACGGAGTAAAGTTGACAGAGGATCTTGCGAGATAAATAATAGTTGTTTTGTTTATATCTTTCGAAAGAATTGTCACGTGCGGATCTGGCAAAGCCTTTGTAACGGATGCATGGACCTCGTAGTAGTTAATACCGGATATTGACAACGACGGTCAACGTCCGGATTGTAGTTATACAATACATATAGCAAACATTTTTATGAGCTGTTGTTATACATGTGGATGATAGAGATAGTGTCGATGAAACTTCTATTTTGACGGGGAATCTTGTCCAGCGATGTTTATGTTGTTTATTGAGTCTCGCTGATTGATATGAGGGAGAAATAAAAGAAAGGATAAATGGACGCGAATATCGCGGCATCGGGACGTCGATCTATTACGCGAACGAGTGTATCGTTCGATTTTTCACTAAAGCGTCGCTGTTATTTCGTATTTTTCGTGAAACTGTCAGCATCGATTGTCACTGCGAAGCAGTTTTAGCAAAAATTATATTGATTTAGTGACGTATTTGCGTAATATACATATACGTATAGAATGTTTGGTAAGGCGCGCGCGAGAAGATTTGAATGTTGGATGCTTAATGACGCGTTATCGGTTGAGAGTCAACAATTTTGAGAATTCAGAGCTGACAGGTATATATATATGGCTGTGTTGAAATGATGGGCATCATATTTATTAGGACTGGCAATACTTGGGCTTACTTGAGAAGAAACGTTTCTCGCTTATGAAATAACGAGTATAGGTTTGTTGAAAGGGTTGATCGATCGATGATCGAAACGTGTAGTACGGAAGAAAGTATATATCAAACTAAAATATCGAGCAGAATTCTACGAAAAATACTCAGCTGATTTTTGTTTAACGATTTATGACGACTGGTTGTGACGATTGGCTGATATATTTTTTTGTTGTTTTTAACCTCAACAAAAAAAGAGCGATCATCGTGCGTCGAGCGTTCAGTCCCATTTATAAAATGCGAGCTGCTCCAATCGCGTCCACTGTTATATGCACAAACTCATATCATTATCAATAAAGTATAAAATGAATGTACTTGTATCTATAAATTTTCTATAAATGTTATGTATGTTGGACACGACTCTAATGGACCAGATGTTTATATATTATTACTTGATACGAAGATAAGATATATGATGATATTTATCTAATTATTAAATAAAACTATGTTGATGTTGAAGTTCCATTTGATTAACACGATATTGATTATAAAGCGCGCGCCGTCAAGTGTTTTCTTAAATATTTTCGTATGGATACACAGGGTGTCTCTTGACGAAGCGATTGTGCTCCGTGCCGATGTATGAAAACATTTAGCGTTGCTGTCATTGCGTACGAAGAGCTGATTTGTTTCACGAAGAGAAAAGAAAATTTGTGCTTCAGCAATGTTAATTTATTTCTCGAGTCCTCTGCGAAATAATGTTTGATAGTTTGTAAAATTGTTATTCAAAGTTTGCATATGCTATTTCCACGAGACTATCGCTTTACTTGAGAGTATCCGCATGTGTGTTTGTAATAGAAAGAAGAGAACCAAAGGGAAAGAAGAAAATACATAGGGTACAAATGGCGAAGTAACTTTGGAGAAACAGACTTTAATGTATTTAATAATAGCATAAGGAATGTGTATATGTATGTGGGGATGCGCATAGATAACGGCGCAAAGTCCTACGCGCGCTTGTTCGCAATAATGCGCAATAGATGCGATTGGGGCGCCACGTTACTGAGATTCGTGACGGCGGAAAAAACGTGAAACTAAAGAGAATATCCTGACGCGTTATTGAAATTCAATCCTGATTCATCTCTATTTCTTCAACTAGGTTTTGTATCGATGATGTAGCGTTGGAAATAAATCTGATTTAAAATATTGGTTACTTGTGTTTTACAAGGATGAGACGAGGGAAGAAAATGATAAATTTTTGTAGCATTTTTTCAAACGTATTGCAACATGAAATCCTCTTTGTTCGATTGAGCGTTATTATTTATTTTATTGATTTTATGTACAACTATTGCTATAGTATCCAATATAATTAGTTTTGAATTAAGCGACAACTGCCAGAAGATACTTTGAAAAAGTTTTGCATGTAATGGGAAATATGTATTACGTCAAGTAATTAAGACTTAAGTGATAAGATGAAACTGCAAAAAAATGATAGCATAATAACAAAAAAGGGTAACTGACTCAAAATTAAAATCGAATTACTCAAAAACGCAAGCTACAGTCGTGTAATTGTCATGCAGAATTCATAGAAATATTTCATAATACATAACACAGTGATGATGGGTGTAACATTGTTTTTGTTTTAGCATAATGTATCATAATTAATCTCATGGTTTCGTTTAGACTAACATTTGAACTAATGTCTGATTTTTTTCAATTTGATTCACTCAGCCATTAGGCAGAGCGGATGCTGGTGGTGGAACGTCAGTGGACGATGATCCCATTTCGCCAATCCCTCCGGCCACGCCTCGTTCCCACGTTTCCGCCAAATCTACGAATTTATCCGAACCCATCGAAGTTAAAACTCTTCCTTCCCCAAAGAAAAACATAATTAATACACCAAAGCGCAACATCACGTTCGCTACACTACCAAGTACTACAAAACTGAGGTCGCCAAAGACAACATCAATCGATGTATTCCAATTCGCACCAAAGCAACGTCCTGAATCTTTACACACTGAAATCAATTCAAATTTGACACAAACGGTAAACCATAATTCCACGAATCTTGACAAAAGACAATCATATCATGATCCTTCGATACATTCAAACTCTCGTTTCCGACTTCCTCCTACGCCTCTTACCAGTCCTGACTACACCGGTGAACTTGGTTCCAAGGCTTCGTTTAGCAAAAGGCAGATTGCACGCTCTGTAGATGGAAATGCTCAGGTTGAGGTGGGTTTCACGCTAAATGGCATGTGTAAATAATGTCGAGGCGTTACTACTGATACTAAGCATACTTAACTTCTTCTACGAATGTTAGTAATCAATAATTACTTTTAAATGTCCCAGCAAACACGATTTTTAACATTAGTGTAATTACATAGGATTTTGGTTTGACATACATAACTATTATTTTATTTAATTTTTATCATTTGGACCCTTTGTCAATATACTTTTTGAATTTAAGATTTAATGTGTTTGCTGGGTTAATAATGCCAAGTATGGTTAATGAGAGTTTATCAAGCATCTTGCATTTACAATGTTATCCTTCAATAATGGCATTTGGCCGTTTTGCATTTTCTTTCAAGGTTACTGACAAACTAAGATTATTAATAACTAATGACTGTGCATGGCTGACGAGGTGTTTCATGGTGGTCAGATTTTTTAAAATGGTATTTACACGGGATCGTCTCTTTCTCAGTAGACTTTTTTTGAGTCTATATAAAACTTTCCATTTTTTTTCCTAAAGTCCATTGTACATTTAGATAGTTTTCTTATCGTTGCAATTCTCAATTCTATTGTCAACAGGGCACAGTTTACTTGAAATATTTAACTGATGACAGTTAAAGAAACTTTTTATAAAAACTGTTGAAATTCTCATGTCGAAGATCTAATAACTGTTTAAAAGATTCAGATATTATTTTACATGACGTACTTTTTGGTTGACAATATTCTTCACATTATTGTTTATATTAATTATCGGGTATTAATTGACGTTCATTCTACTTTATACATGTATATTTTATATATTAGAAAACACTGATTTTTGTACAATGCATATACAGCCATCGCCAACACCATCTCCTACTCCTGGTCCGGTTAAGATGTCGGTGAGCGATAGGAAACGATTATTCGAAAGTGCCATGGAGGAACATCTAAAACCTTCTCCTAAGCCGGGTAAGATACACAAACCATACATCGATATCACGTAAAGTATGATTATCTCAGTGGCAATGACACTTTGATATTTATATAATTTCAGAAAAAGTATTCAGTTTTCTGAGTCAGGACGAAGTGGAAAAGATGAAACAGGAAGAAGGTATGAAAAGTTATAATTAAACAGTTTAATAATTAATATACATATATATAATTGTAAAATTTTTCACGTAGAATGAACCATAATTAATTAACATTATTTTGTTAAAACAAAAACGACAATTTCGAAGCTTAGATTATTGTCATGCTAAAAATGTTTTTGTCGCTACTGTTGTAGAAAAGAAAATAGCGACGTTGACCAGGGACGAGCTGAAGTCCTGGGCACAGCTCGATGAAAATGAGGGTCTCGAAGAATCTGAGGACATGTTGGAGGATCACGATAACAGGAGGCCTAAGTAAGCTAGACTGTGCTGCCATCTACACACTTGCACATCAAGCCGATCACACCTATTATTTCGCACTTTCTATCTTGTCTTTCTTGCTCTGGTTTTACCTATTTTTTTAATACTTTCCGCGTACAAGTGAAATACAAACGAATACTTGACAGATGAAAAAAGTATTATGAAATGTAATTGTAATATATAATTGCGCAGACATGTATGTAAATCAAAAGAGAACAAAAAATATTGTTCTGCACTTATCCATGTTCAAGTATTCATTTGACATAATTTAATTTTTTTTTACCATACTACTTTTTTCATTACTTCATCGAGCAAGGGTCAATTAGAGAAAAAGATGTCAGAATTACTACTTTGACCATTTTTCAATTCAAATGATCCATTTGTACATTTACTTTACATTTTTTTTTTTTTTTAATTACCAGCTATCTAGCAAGTAACTATAAAGACGACAGTATTGATAATCTTTCCAATCACGAAGGTCTACGGGCATACCTGTTTTTCTTTTTTTTTTTTCCCCACAAGAATTGAATCTAAGAAATTATTTCTTCCCTCAGGTTGGCTTTTCCTACCCACTCTGTACATATGTATCTATGTATTCTGTAATATATCTACTGACTATCAAAACTTTAGGGTAGAGTAGTATATAATGGCGTTATTCGTTTTTTTTTTTTTTTTTTTTTTTTTTTTTTTTTTTTTTTTCCCCACAAGAATTGAATCTAAGAAATTATTTCTTCCCTCAGGTTGGCTTTTCCTACCCACTCTGTACATATGTATCTATGTATTCTGTAATATATCTACTGACTATCAAAACTTTAGGGTAGAGTAGTATATAATGGCGTTATTCGTTTTTTTTTTTCGTGGCGTAATTTTATTAAATATTTGCTAGTAGCTTTCGTCGTAGCGCGGTGATACAAAATTTAACAATGTGCTAGAGCAAATAACAATATCAATTGTAGTAAAATTGTTAATTGTAGAGTATCGACAATTTTGCGACGGGGGTTCGTACTTACCGACTATCATGCTTTCTCAAATTTAACAGCCTATCGCAGTTCTTTGTTTTTCTCATTACAATGAAGCATCTCAAGTATTATAAATAGCAAGGAATTGAAATTCTTGGTTATTCCTTTTTGTATATAATTTTTCACTTTAACCGTTTCGCAACTTTTTATTAAATTTCTTATATCAATGATCGTTTTAACCTAAAGAAAATCATAATTTCTTTCTGGAACCATAAAACTACTGTAGCATTGTCGTCCAACGCTTTCGCTTATGCTTAAATGCGTAATCGTTTTATACACACTCGCATTTCACGCTCAGCGAATCACAATGATAATCATTTTAGAAATTGATATTATGCTGTATCAAGCGTGAAATGAAGCAGTATGCTTTAGAATTATGAAAAATTGGTTTGAGAAAATCGACGGCAGTTTTTTTTTATTTACTCAATCTTAAAAAGAAAATCGACACGAAACCAATAACTATTGCAAGAAAATGATGGCAGAGTGACAAACTTAATTTTTTTTTTTGTTAACTTTTCATATATGAGACCTTTCATCAAATATTTTAATGCCGTCCATTTTTCACACCGTTAGTAGATTTACTTTTTTTTTTGTTTTTCTTAGACTCGCAGTATAGACTACTTTATATCTTACACAGTATTTGTATTATGATTAGTTTGTACACCCGTATTCCTTGGCCTCTGTATTGTTTACATGCTTTTGTACTTTTTATAAATAAATATTAAGTCTAAGAAATTCGATTGGTCAGTATGCGTGCTCGTTGACTTACAGTAGCCGATTGAGTTCGCGAAGTTCCCATCCGCTTCTGCATAATGCACCAAGCGTCGTGAGGACCGCGAAGGCCGAGCGACGATTGAAGGAAAGGATGATACAGGAGGTATGCTGTTGTATGACGTAATTAAATAATTACTATGCTTTTATTAAAGGGTGATCTATTTTGCAATTTATAAACTACAATATAACTGAAATTAATCATGACTATTTTAAACAGGGTTTAATATCCGACGAGGACGAAGAGAGTCATCTCAGCCCTGCGGAGCAACGCGCCCTCAGAGCAGAAAAGCGCGCAGCTTGGCGACAAGCGCGTCTCAAGTCCCTAGAACAAGTAAGTATGATAATAAATGAAATAAGCATAATTACTTGACTATGCTTATTTATAAAAACAAAAGAATGGAGAAAATACTTTTATAAAGTTTTTGTGTAATGTCCTCATCATTTTGTCAAATACTTTCACCGATACTCATTACAACAAACAATAATGACTATTATCTTTTGCCAATAGGATGCGCTACAAGCCCAAATGGTGATAAAGAAAATGAGTGAAATGATGGACACATCGCCAAAGCCTGATCTACCCCAAGAACCACCACCAGTGGCGCCATCGCCACAAGACGACGAAAAACAGTCGGACGTGAGTACCTTCACTTCCGGTTAAAGAACGAATAACTTTTAAACATTTTTATAATTAAACGTAAATTAATAATGCATTAACCACAATATACCTCCTCGAAATGTCAGGGTCGTACCTTTAACACAATTTGGTTTGTTACTAATTGCTTGTTTTGCTCGTAATAAGCGAAAGAGGCCCGCTAATCATGTTAGAATTAGACGAAAAAAAATACTTAAAGCGAATCTCGTTTGTCTGTCTATCTGTGGGTAGTTTACTACGTTACGGCCATCTAGTGCTGATTTCCCTAAGCTTGCTGTGCGCAGCAAGTTGGGTCCCCCAAAAGCTGTACGCGAATCTGAGAAAGTAGTGGACGAGAAGGTGACTAGGCGCACCGAAGAGTACGTCGACGAGGTCACCGGCGAACGTCGCGTGCGAACTGTCGAATACGTGGAGAAGCTGATCGAGCGCGAGGTACTATCACTACCACTATCAGTACCACTATCAGTACCACTATCAGTACCACTGTCACTATCAATATCACTGCCAATATCTAATTAGAGCACTACACCACTACCAGTTACTTAAACCAGATCGTCTTGTATATATATAGATATATATACACACACATACAGTACACACAGGGGCATAGGGAAATGCGTATGTACACTGGTATTTACAAATTTTGAAATTCTACGTGCGATAGAATTGATCACGTGTTAGATCCCTCGATTGTTAAACTATAACTTTTTTTTTATTATCCAACTTTGCGATCACGTCAAATTACTGGCTGCTAGAAAAAATTGAAAAAAGTAGATTGGATGCGGTTCTTTTTTTTTTTTTAAATTATTTTATATTTTTGTAAGATATTTGAATTTATTATGTCGCAAGATATGCGAATCAAGGATCATTCGAGTTGTAGTTTGTTGCGCGTACGTGTACTGCATGTTACTGTATTTTATTTGGTTATATATATATATATGCATGGCCTGAAGTAGATAATAATACTAACCATATGTTGATTACTATTTTAATCGGTTATGATTGTTTGATTGATTGTTGAATGTTTTTTCCAAGATTCCAATTGTTACGCCTGGAATGTTATCTACACTGCCTTGAGCCAATCATTTCATGTCCACTGATCATTGACAATACCTTCTTCTACTATCGGTATGCTTTTCTATCTTTCTATGGGTTTCTAATTTGTTTTGGCATGATTATACGTGTATTTGTTATTATTATTAAGGTTTGGAAGTTCCTGTCTGTCCAATGTTCCTATTATGTTATTGTTATTGTGCGAATCTGATATGATCTTATACGATCTTGTGTAACATATTTTCTGCATCTTGAATCTCGTACGATCTAGTATAGACCCGGCTTTGTATTAATGGTCAAGAATTTATGAGCCATGATAACTATAAGACTTTTTATGGGCAGCAGAAAAGGGACTGACGCGAACTTTCGTACTCTAATGATTTATAATTGTCACTGATAACTTTGGTATTGTCACGCACAAGTCATCATCATGTATTCACCATCTCCAATAAGATAATGTCTGTATAATCAGGTTGAAACTCTGCGCGAGAAGATCATTTCTCTGGAGCTAAGTAATGCGGAGGAAGAATTGGAGGAGACTGTGGGTGACGGTGCGAAAGATGCTGGAAGTGACAGCGAAGAGGGCACGGGACAATCTTCCGTAGTGAGTACGCCATTGGATGAAAAAGCCGAATTAATTATTCCTACGGACACGCCAAAAGATTCCACTACTGCTACTCCCGCTAGTGCAACCACAGTAGGCACCACCGCGTCCAAGAAGAGGAAAACCAAGCGCTCGAAGAAGGGTCGCCATTAAAGTCGTGAACTTTCTTTCCTGACGGCATTGAACCTATTGGTGCAAAATTCATTTAGGCATATATTACGCATGTAAGGGAAAGAGTGTCATCATTTTTTTTCGAAACGTGCTGATTAATCGCTGTCTGTTAACTGACATTATTTTTTGTTAACAAGGCGACGCGACACTATTGGTGCAATTGCGTTCTTCTTGATAGATGAGTCGTTTAGGGGACTTGATTAATTGGTCTGTGTCCAATTTTAATCCATCCGATATTTAACTGATGGATTAAGTACACATACAACTACTTGAGAATGGTTAGAAGTACAATAAGTATAAAGGCATAAGGTACTCTGCTGTGTCACTATTTATTTTAAGTTTATTACAAGTATTATTTAAACCTCGAATGTAATTGGTTTATTTGACTTGCAAAATACTTAAACTTTCAAATGTATCACTTTTTTTTTTCGTTTATGGAAACTTTGATAAGTCGATACCATTTGATTCTGTCATCAACTCATATGAAGTACACATTCCTACTTTCATATAATCAGTACATCACAGTGGTTGTGATTAATTAATCATATAATTTAGTCCGAAACTGATACTTGCTGTAGACTGCTAACGGGATGTATTATCTTTCCTTAATACTTCCTAGAGACAGAGTAATGCTAATTAAAAGTATAAAAGATAACAGTATTCAGACATACAATATCAATTGGAGAATAATTGAATTGTATATGAAGCGTTGTTTAACTAGCAGTCAATTATTAATTGTACAGTTGTGACCTACTGAAGTTAAAAAGTTCTGCAAGGTACAATCTGATCCTTCCAAAATAAAAAAAAAAAAAAAATCAAGCACGCTCTGTGAACGCGTGGTTGTCTTAACGATTTGGTTAGGTGCGTGTAAGTTATTGTCATGTTAGGTTACTCAAAATATTTGTAATCACAGAATTGGTTGGAGAAAATTGTGAAGTCCGTTATAATTAATTAGATAGCTTCAAAGTATTAAGATCACAATAAGGCGACGCGTGTGCAACACAAACCCAATCACACATACACAGAAACAATCACACATAAACAGACAATCTGTAAAGTATTTTATTTATTTTACTTTAATAATAAGTAGCCAAACTCTTCTATCTACATAGCATTTTTTCAACATATGTGTACAGATCCCACGACATTCGATTTTACAGTATTGTATTAACCTTTTTGGGAATAGTTTTTTTTAAGAAAATCTTTTTCTTTCTCGATATCCTAAACAGATTAATTTCTTCTGTATTATAAAGTGGTAACGTTATACAATAATGACCTACGTGCTACTTATAAAGTGCTAATTATTAAGTATTGTTGATTTGACTGGTATCGATACCTTTAGTATCAATTAAAAATTGTCTCGCTGTCATGTATAACTATACTTGTATGATCTGTGGTTATGCAATCTAACAAAGATGCCTGATAGAAAGATTCTCGATGCGTAAAAATGTGTGGTGTCGTATGATAATAATTGAAATTCTTCTCTAATGGGCTGCCAACAGGTATCTCGGAGCATCTAGTAATATTAAGTGTTTCCAAGAAGGCGCCATCGCGGTAATAATAGTAATAATCACAACTTATAGGCCTTGCAATTAAGTGTATTATTTTATATTGGATATATATACAATATTTTCATATGTAACCACTTCGTATTGTTGATATATACTTGTTAAAGTGACACACGACCTGTAACTGTGTATGCGTGCTGAACGAGAAGTAAACTTTAATGCTAAATAGGTATGAAGCAAATAATGAATTATCGATGGTGAATTACGAAAGCGGGATTAGGTGAAAGGGACCAATAGCTTAAATCATATATACAGAAATTTTTTAGAAATCTCTCCCCACACACTAATTACGTCCATAACCCCTGATTTTGTATTTTTTTTATAAAGCTATTGACTTTCAACAGAAAACAATTATACATTGGGACATATACATATATTCTAACATTACACACATTTTACACAAACTTTTCACTGCGACATTGTTTAAGTAAATATTCATAAAGTGCCAATTTTCTAAAAATGAAAAATTAAATGCCACTTATCGTTTACGTTGAAGGTACATAAATAAAATATATGTACAAAAATGTACGTGTACCTTCTTTATTTAGCGTGCGAATACGTTATTTGTATTTTTTTAAATTAATTAACGTTAAATGTATGAATGCTTAGAGGCATTCGAATGGCACTTATTTACAAAGTATGAGTATAAAGAAACACATGCATAATAAATCACATTGTCTGTGAATTAAACTATACACATTACAAAATATATATTTCATTAGTAATGCCATTGTGCAAGAATTAAAATCGTTAATGAAGACATGCGTTTTTTTAATACGAAATAAAATTTCTGCGGATAGCTAAATAATTGTCTACTGTGCGTATGTTCTTTCATAGAGATTCTTTTGACAAGAAAATGCGACGGTTTTGCATGTCCTCACGCGTAATTTTGTTTCTGTAGAATTCATTAGAAGCAGAATCGGTTGCCAGAGGTTTCAAAATTATTGAAATAATGTGTAATGATGTCATGAATGATTGACGTTATTGATAGGAAGTATTGATTTCAAGAAATGTATTAATCTTAGAACTTGCATAATAATTTTATGAAGCTTATCTTTCTTGCTTGCACCGTTGTGTCTATTTCTTCCTCTTGGAAATCTTTAACGGTTTTACCAAACATGACAGTGGTGTCTCTAACAGGGAAAGATTTTAATTAGACTTATCACTGTCCTTTTTCTGATAATACAAGATCGAGCTAGTTTTTGTAATTTTATTTAGAGCACAAGTGTATAATTGAATTCTGCAATTCTAATACGGTTTTGGTTCTTGATATATTTGTGCCTGATGAATTATTTAATTATTTTTCTTAGAACAATTAGCATTGCTAGTAAATAAAATTAAGGAGTGTAATTATTAGACATTGCCGTTGTATAAGTATTTAGGCAGAATTTTTTCCATTTTAATAATCCGATGACGCGAAGCGAATTGAAGGTACATTAGACGATGAATAATAAAAACTATTTAATATTTTAGAATGAAAGTATATATATTTATTTACGAGCAGCTATAGTCTTTAAATAAGCAATATTTATATGTTTTATAACTTAGGTATTAAGTTAAACTATAAGCGAGGTGTCACGTAGATCAACATATACATTACATGTAATCATCGTTAACGCGTGATAATTACAAATTTTAAGGATTTGTTTAATCATAAACATAATATCGTCAAATAAGGTGCTGAACAATTAAGCAAGCCTTTTACTAGGAAAAAGAAAAAAATAATTGCAAGGCAAATACTCCTCGAAAGATCATCTTCCATTGAACTTATTTCTCTTTTCTTGTCACACATTATTACGATTATGTATCGTTCCGCTTTAGTGAAATAATACAATAAAATACATTTTTACTGTATTTCCCTGACGACTATACGATTCGCTTCAATTTCGAGAATAAACATAATTTCAGTGCTACGACTTCTTATTGTAATAAAAAAAAAAGAATAATTACCAGTGACACAGTGTATAATTTATAAATTTTTAATTTCATTTAATTCAATCAGTACATTCGTATTTCAAAATGAATAAATCTTATTGAAGAGATTAAATTTTATTTCTTCGGTGCAATTATTCCTTCCAGTTGAGTCTAAAATAAAGATATAATAATCGTTCCCGTAAATGCGTTAATTATAGTAGAAATTGTATCATTGCTAGAAATGGTGTCAATCATATTGTTCATTACTTACAGTTAGAAAATTAAATTAAATTAATCGCATAGAAATTACCTTTAATTGTTGATTTGTTTTTTTAAGAAATTGAATTTCTTCTGTATGCTTCTTATCTTCAGCTTCACGTAATTCGGCAGCTCTTCGTTCGGCTTGTTCGAATTTCTGTCTCAGTTCGGCTACTGTTTTTTCGAGTTCTGCCTTTTGCACTCGTAATTCTTCAGCGGTTGCTATCAAGTCTTCTTTACCTTGCTCAGCCTGCCTTAAGCAAATGTTGTTTTTTTAAATAATACAAGTCACTTCACTGTGAAATTAAGTCATTCAAAAGCAACTCGTACTTGCAAAGCCTTCCGCATGCCAAATGCGATACTGCTTTGATAAAGTGTTTGATAAGCTGCCATTGTCATTTTAATTTCATCCCTTACTCTCAACAGGAGCAAACCGCGTTCTGCGCAATTTACAGTGACTTGTCGTATTATTTCATCTGTGAAAATTACGAGAAACATAAGTAACATTCGTCGTGCTAAGTAACGATTAATTACAATGCCATGGTTTTTTTCTCTTCAAATTGACACTATCATTTTTATACCAAAGCATTGAGTATAAAGTTCACGACGAACAGGACAAATTCCAGTTTCCTTCGCTTGTCTTTGCTGTAGTTTCATATCCAGTTGTTCTTGCAGATTAATTACGTCCAATCGAGTTGCAGGAGTGCTTGAAATCTAATTGTACATTTCGGTCTCGTTAAACAGGACGTTGCTTAAACTCTTATAACAATTTATTTATTCTTACCTGTTGTGTCCATTCTTGGCCATCTTCTTCCCACTTTTTCGGTGGTAAAATTCCATTGAGAATTTCCACAGTTTCACGACGAAGATCTAACGTAGGCGGTGTGGTTTGTATTTTACAAGCACCAGCTCCGACTTTTAGTGGTGTTGTTTCTTTAGCAACCTAATATTTTTTTCGATGCAAAGTATTCATTATACTTCGGTTAAAAGATAAATGGTACTATATAAAACCGGAACCTAGGAAGAACCTTTTCTGGGTGAGTTGCAACCAGCACAGGATTGTCGTATTTGATAAGAGTATCCATTGAAGGAATGGTGCGCTCTTGAATTACTGTCGCCATTACTCTTTAATGTATGTCTTGCTGATTAAATATTACAATTCTGAAAACCTATGAAAAACTAGTGTACTATGAATCAAGCCGACATTTACTGATCTGTAAACTGCTTATATGACATGTGTTTATAACCACAAGGATTTCATACATGGCGTTTGGTAATCACTATGGAGATATTGATATAACATGTGCTCACGTATTGACATCTTTCACATATTGATTATCATAATTTTGTTAAAGTAATACAACTGTTAAATGATATTATAACAATATTGTGGAATTAGGAAAATATTGAAATATTTCAATGTTGGATATTCGTGCTAACATTCATATATTCATTAAAATTTAAAAAATACAAAGGATTTATGATATATAATATTTGTATATATGTTACAGGAATCGTTTTGGCTTTTCTCTTATTTTACATTCTACGCAAACCTAAATATCACGTTTGCACTTTAACACTAAGCATGTTAGTGTGTTAGACAATTTACACGATAAAGACTTGACTGCCAATTACGGACGCTTGAGTATTATTGCCTTATGAAAATTTTTTACAACTCTATATGCTTCTGCATGATCTTCGTTTCAATGTCCATGTGAAGTTTCTCGACTGTCCTTGTGTGCTTTTTAATATGTTGCTGCACTGTTGAATTCTGTAAGTCGTAAGGCTTGCCTTTGCGTGCAGCTTCCAGCGCCGCTTCAGTATGTAGATGACGTAATTTAAGCAACCTAGACTCATAATGTAAGAGTTCCTCCTGTTAAAACAGAAGAATTTGCGAGTTTTATTGTCAAATTAATAAAACTATATATTTTTAAATTTACTAAGATCCATGATAAAATGACAGCAATACTCAATTGTCGCTATCCTGGGCTTATGTATTATATTGCTTACCTTTAGTGATTCAAGTTCCTCGGGTGAAAACTTAGCTTCCAATGCAACTCTCCATAGTCCTTGTACTTTAGGTTCTACAAACTCTTTATGGTTTGGTCCCTTTGCGGCTAGTCTATCTAGACGATCAAATCCACTTCTGAGTTCTAAATGTTTCTCCCTATGATTGTATAAGTGAAACTGTAAGATATTTTCACCATAAATTTAAATAGTGTTAATAGTGAAAATTACCTGAGCAGATTTGCTTTGGACAAATAATCCATATTTTTTCCAGGAACATCATTTTGCTCCTCCTCAGTTTCTATCATGTTCCATTTTTCAGCCTTTCCGTGAATGCTGTCTATAAATTTATAACATAAAAATTATAAAACAGTATAAAATCAGAGAAAACGATACTAGTCTACGTACATGAAATATACTTACTTTCAAGTGTATCAGTATCTCCATCATGAACGTTTTGTAGAAGACTCATATATTCATCTACCTTTTCTTGATGGTGTGTGAATTCTTCTTTTAATGCATCGAGTTCATCGGCTAAAAGAAATTAATAAATATTAATGTTGATATATATATACAGAGTTATTCAGTAGAAACACACCACCTAAAATTAGCATGCCCATTTGAGTCCTATAGTAAAACTATATTCAGATGGTGCGTTTGGGTTTAATAACCTGGTATAACAAAAGAACTACATACATGTAAATCCAGCTACCTCAGCTTTAGCCCACAATTTGTTTAATTTCTTATCCTTAAACAAATCTTTGGCCACATAATTAGATCCATCATTAAGAGCTTTGTGTCTTTTAAGCAATTCTGGATCATCAGTTTCAGCAAAGTGTTCCAATAAGCCATAAGTACTCATAATACCTACAAATTAGCTTGATGTAAAATTTAATTATGTATCAACTATGCCATATACTCAAGTTACTATACCAATAAGTTTTTTCCTAAGTGTTGCTTCTTGAAGACCTTCTGGATCCATTCCATCAGCCTTAATATGTTTAAAGACGATCTCCTCCTTGTCATGAATCTTCAAATCACTGAATAACGATTGTAGTTTAGGTTCGGTTAAACGCTGGAATAAATAATGTTATAATGTACAACTTCATTAAAAAGAACATTATATACGTACGTGTTTAGCTTTAGCCCAAAGTAAATTCAATTTCGCTATGCGATAAGGTCTATCGAGTTCCCTTAACGAGACTGGAAATGGATTCGAACTATCCGCATCTTTCGGTTTGTTTGCGGTGGCAGAATATTTATTTTCAGCAATAGTATTAGTAACAAACAAAAGTAAACACAACCCATTAACGAGCGTCATTCTAATCGCAGATGACATTTTTTACTCCAAAATGTCAAACTCTTATCCTTGCACGTCACTCCCGGAAACTACCAGCGCCCAGGAATGACAAGCGGTATTAATTTACACCATCTTACACCAACAGAAAATTTCATATGCATAAGTATTCTCAACGGTCGTATATTTTATATCGTAAGGTCCTTCGTCCAATGAAAAGTTTTATAGTCACGTGACAATTAAATACTTGTAATAAGTTAATTATTGCACTTGCAGTAAATATTAGCATTAACATATGTATAGATTTAATTATACGTTGTATAATCTATACAAAATAATAAACTTGCCTGTCAAACTTATACTTTGATACAAAACTTTGCACTAGTAGTAGCTAACTCCCAGTTTTGATTGGCTGTCAACAATTGTTTACGTTACGAAGTTATAGTTTAAAAAGTTTAATGCCGGCTTTAAAACGTGCTCTTTAAAGAGACGGCCTACTTGTTAAGGTGTCAATCTGAACGCAGAATGGTCCGATATGGAGCACTCAAGGGTCTCTACGATTTGGAAAAGACTATCGGATGCGGAGGATTTGCAAAAGTTAAACTCGCTACTCATATTGCCACCGGAGAGAAAGTTGCTGTAAAAATTATGGAAAAGACAGCGCTGGGCGTAAGTGAATATTAAAATGAAATTTTATTTTAATAAAAAAAATCATATAAGTAGTTTATTTGATATCAATACTTTTTTCTTATGATCTTGGCCTATAGATTATTTTATCATATCTATTTAATATGACAAAAGGTTCATAGGAATATGTACATGTCATTATGGTATAAAGTATATTAATTTCTTTGTTTGTACGTAATTGATTCAATCTAGTGTTGTTATATTGTACTACTTGTTAACTTTTGTATCACTGTAATAACATTTCATTACAGGAAGATTTACCAAGAGTGAAACTAGAAGTGGAAGCATTGAAAACTTTGTCTCATCAACATATATGTAGACTGTATGAGGTCATTGAAACAGAGACCCATTATTTTATGGTAATAGAATATTGCTCTGGTGGAGAGTTATTCGATCATATAGGTATATTCTTGTATTTCTGTTAAATATCACAATAGGCTATTGAAATATCTATAATACTTAACAATTATTTAACAATTTAATAATAATTTTCACTGGGTAAATGATAATATATCTTAAATAATTTTAGTGGAAAAAAATAGACTCTCCGAAACAGAATCTCGAAAATTCTTTCGTCAAATAGTATCTGCTGTAGCATATTTGCATGACTTAGGATATGCACACCGTGATCTTAAGCCTGTGAGTAAATAAATATAAGCACTTAGTTCTGGTGAATCAAAATATAATATCAATCTATTTTTTATTTAGGAAAATGTTTTGCTTGATAAAGAACAAAACTTGAAGTTAATAGACTTTGGCCTCTGTGCCAAACCAAAGGGTGGAATGCAATCTCATTTATTTACTTCGTGTGGCTCACCAACATACGCAGCTCCAGAACTTATATTGGGAAACAAATATTTAGGTAACGTGTTTTATATAACTTGAAGATAATTGAATTTTTTAAATTTACATATACTTTTTCCAGGATCAGAAGTTGACATTTGGAGTATGGGTGTTCTTCTATATGCTCTACTGTGTGGATTTCTTCCATTTGATGATAATAGTATAGAAAATCTATATAAAAAAATCCTTGTGAGTATTAGGTAGCAAAAATCTTTCTGAGTGTGATGTATAATTTCGTAATTTACAGAGTGGAAAATATGACGAGCCAAGCTGGCTATCTAGTAGCAGCAGGCGATTAATTCGTTCAATGTTGCAAACGGATCCGAACAAGAGAATCACTATTGAAGAACTGTGCAATCATCCATGGATAACGGCTGGATTTTTAAATCCTGTCACGTTTGTCAAAAAAATCAATGTAATGATTTATTAGTAAACAATCTTTTTATAAATCATTGCTTCATTAAATATTTCTATTCAGTTTGAAAGGGATACCGAGGTATTGAATACCATGTCTGCTATTTGCGGGGAGCATACCGATGATATTTGGGAGCGATTGGCGAAGAGCGACAGAACTGATTATAGGACAGCAACATATTTGCTATTGCTTGACAGAAAAATACGAGGGCTTCCCTTTAAAATAACATCAGCAGCCAGGCCACGATTTAAAAATAGAGGGGTTCGTATTGCGTTTTTTTTCTCGATTCTCTTGAGCATTTATTTATATTTAAAATATCAAAAATATATCCTGTGTAGAATCTAGAATTGACTCCTAAATACGAAGGAATTAGTAACTTCATCACAAAACTGGATCAATCTCCAAGGGGTAGAGTAAATAAGATGTCATCAGATTCTAATGCTCCCTGTGGCGTATTGGTGAAAACACCAGAGAACCGTACGAATTGAACTTATTCATTATCAGATATCTTACAAGAAATATGATAACGTTATTGACTAATATATGATATACATTTTTTTTAGCTAAAAGTGTAACAACTCAGTTTACGGAACCCCATGGTCCAGCGCGGAAAAGATTAAGAGTGAAAGATGCAGATGACGTTTCTTCGCCAAGTAAGTATTATTCTATTAAATATATTGATTTAACAGACTAAAAATATTTTGACTTTACTTAATTTCCTCAAGCAATTACACGATAAAAGAAATTACCAAAATACGTAAAAGTATGGAAACTTTAATTCATTCTTAGATGGAAAGTCTAATTACTGAACCCTAATTCGTTGTTTTGGGTTTAAAATATTGTATCCTAGTGGCTCTTAACTCTACTTAATGGTAACAGTGACTGTGCACAGGGTAGATAATTACCAAGACGTTAATGGCTACTACAAACTTTTAAACAAATGCAATTTAGAGTAAAGAATCAGTGCTCGCCAGGTACGTATGTCTTCTCGAAAGAAATTAAAGAACCATTTATCTTATTTTAGTACCCACAAAGAAGCAGGTGGAAAAGGACAGGCTTACTGCAACCCCTACACCAATTACACAGTCAGATACCACGTAAGCAGAGAAACATAAGCCATATTTGATTAAATAATTATTTATATTAACGTAGCATGTTAAATAATTGTTATGTGCAGAAATCAACAATCATTAACACCAGGTAGTGCCCGTAAAGTAATGATGGGCCTCGAGCGCAGTTTGAATCGAGTGAGACACGTTTTGACGCCAAAGCGACGTGGAAAAAGTGAAAATTATGATCCAGATCAGCCAAACACGCTCTCAGGAAAAGTTCGTATCTTTTTGCAATTTCTTTAAAATTTACTTCCGCATATTATTGAGTCCATAATCCATGATAATCATCTAGGGTCTTTGCAATGTCTCGTCCACGTCAAACGATTGTCCAAAATATGTTTTATCGCAATTGCGTCGTGCCCTTCATCGGAAAGGAATTATTTGCCGTCAAAAAGGGTAAGGAAGTTATGAGAAGATATGCAAGTTTTAAATTGTTCGATTGCAAAAATTGTAGATATTTCTATTACATTGAAAACTTTAGGTTTATTCTTCATGGCGAAACGGAACTAATAATGTCCGGAAACAGTAAGGAATACGCCAGACCTTTCTCTTCGCGAAACACCTGTTCGTTTGAGTTAGAGGTGTGTCTCATGGAGGGCGTGTCCGACACGAAACCTTTAGTTGGAATCCGTAGAAAGAGACTCAAAGGAGATGCTTGGGTTTATAAACGCGTTTGCGAGGAAGTTCTTGCACTGGCTGCTGAAGACGTACCAACAGAGGAAACTGCGGGATCAAAATGCCTCATCTGATCGATCGGTTAAATATTTTTCAACTGTAAATGTATATATATATATAATAATGGTATATTGGATAGAAAAGCATTGATAGGGATAATTTATAAGTTAGAACAGTATGATCTTTCTTCGTTTTCTAATGCAACATTCAAATTTGACATCTGTTTGTGCTTATTCAATGCCAGTAAATTATCGACCGCAAAATGCTTGGTGGAACGTTGATACGATGGCGCCACTGTCGATAATTATCATTCGTAGCTAATAACTTGTCAGTGTGTGGTTACAATACTCATGTTACTATTGATATTATATTTTGCAATTTTTGCCACTCATAATATGAAACGGGTTTTTCGAAATATGTTGCAAATTTTTTTTTGCTAGGCAGTAAAGTAGTTCCGTCCTCGATGATCTTAGTTTACGATATTATGCAAGAACGTGATCATCTTTTCACAGTGAATAGCACAAAAAGTAACAATATTAGTGATAAATCATTAGCTGATTCATTCGCATCACTCGAACTCGAGGGATCAAATCGCGAAAAACGGTTGAAAATTTCGCAACATTAGCTTTAAGATGCTGGATATTTTCGCCAGAATAAACATTCGATTTTAGATTATTTATTAGTAAATACGTAATGTTACTATTTTAAGTCACTTTACTGATATTACACTTTTAGAGAAACACATGTTACAGAACGTCTGTCACTGTGTCGTAATACGCGTTTGTCTTTTTTTTTTTATAAGGAGTTTGCTAACCGGTACAAGAAATCGAGCGTTATTTTTTAAGTGTAAAACACGTTCATTTCGTATGCATTGGTGGCACAGTGCTGATTAGAGATTGGCTATAAAATTAAACCACCATATTAAATTGTATAGCTTGAAAGCAATCATAATATAACTGAAAACATATAAATGTAAACTTTCAACTAAAGATGTTCCTTGTGCCGGAGGGATATTTCATTTGTAAAAATTATAAATATAAGAATTCATTGCAGCAGAATTATTTCTTACAGATAATAATTTCTTCATACAAGAGTGCGTTCCCGCCATTCTCCATTTTGACAATGAATGTCCTAACATCACATTAGATGGATGTATCTCATCCCGTAGCCAATGGCCTGTGAATCCTTTAGTCTGACGTCATAGCTGCTAAACGTCAAGGTAACAGTTTTGCCGGAAGCATTAACAGTTAACAGTATCTTCATCATTCATCAGCGCTGGCCTTAACTCTTAAAATTAATTAAGACATTCGCCCATATCCGTTAGTAATTAAACTCTTCACTCAAGGATGTCAATACTCAACATCCGTTCCGTTTGAAAATTCTACCAGGAACAATAGAGGACCGTGATGTGGTGCTGTCTAAATTTTTTTTTGTCAAAAATTCAAATATTTCCGGTAACGCCTGTCATACTTTTCTAACTGGTACAGATATAAAATTAACTATGTTAAAAGTCACATTCTAGTTCACATCCGAAATTGTTACTTTCCATGTTCTCTAATTAACGGTTAAGAATGAAGAATCGATTCATGATGGTTAACAACAATCGTTAATTACCAATTAGAGAACTGGCTATAAAATCGACAATAAATTTATAAACAGGACGTTATACTCTTGGAACGATATGAAAAGTCTAAATTTGACCATAGAAATAATATGAACTTCAGTCTATTTTGACGTGATGAAGCCCTGCGATGTTTAATAAAGAAAAAAGAAAAAAAATATAAGATCGAAATAAAGAATGTACTTACTAAAGAATTGAGCAACGAGTGACTATTGGCAATTTCTAGCTTGGAATCCCTTGTCGGATATATGTAAAGCTCTGTTTCGGATTTATATAGCGGATATAAACTATAGCGGTTCGTTTGAACGTCCATCACAATGCGCGCAACCATAGACGTTCGAAGTTGTAAAATCACCACAAATCGATCAGCATAAAATACTAGAGCCACGTCCATTTTGCTTTACGGCTTTGCGCCAGGTCCTTTTATCTTGGCCGCTCGATAATTCTCTTCCCTCTCTTAACAAAAATATAAGGTGTATCGCTATCGGCCATCCACCGATATCCCCATAATTTGCATAATTCTCTATAGGCACTATAAGAACCCTTCCAATCATCCCTTCGTAATAGAACGTCATTTTTAATCTACTTTATGTACGCAATTTTAGCACTTTCGATTCAAATATAAAGATATACCTTCGATTGTATACGAGTGCAAGGAGGATAGAGGAATCCGTGTGTCAACCGAGCATAAATTACAATTAGCCGATGCGTGCGTGCGCATGCGTGTACATGTTAAGCGTGCAGAAGAAACCGTCTTAAATTCATCATGGTCTTTATCGAGGTAGGTAGGTTGGTAGAGAGAGGTTAGGTAGGTAGGTAGGTACTAAGCGATGCATGCAAGCAATGCCATCCTGCGGGACCGGCCGCTACCGGTACGTTTATGCGTTTGTTAGTAACTACGCAAGTACTATAGGTACCGGCAAAGCGCAGTACGCAGCAAGGTAAGTCCTACAAGCCACCGAGGTGCATATACGCTATCGAATAAATGAATATTAAACGTTGGGAGTGGTTTTAGTTGTAAGCCAGTTAACATCGACGTTTCGAAGAGGTTCTATTTCGTGTCGATACTTTATATACCATGAACCGAAGATCAGTGCTGGATTATCATTTGGAAGGTTCAAACTACGGAAAAGCGATCGTAAGCCTTCGCACCATAGAATGTAAGAATCGTTATCATAACCAAAAAAAAGTAGTTTAATGTCTTCTTTCGCAGCATAGGAAAATTCTTAGGAACTGTCATTACCCCTTGAAGTTGACAACTTCTTGTATCGTTCAAGATGCATAACCGGTTATGTATCTATAACGACACCCTGTAGATATTATAACGCGTTACGGGATGATATCGATCTTGGCAAGGTGAGAATATTTTCTGTATTTTATACAATAACAAAAAGTGGAAAAAAAAGTGTTGCTGTGTAATCTTGATATTTTTAACTGGATCTTTCGTATCTTTATAGATTCTACTAGCATCCAGTCAAGAACCAACAGCCATATTGTCAATTACTGTAATACACATGGGCACCGTACATTATTTTTCCATACGAGATTGCCGATATAGAAAAACGTAAGTAAAATCCTTATTAAAAAATATAACAGAAATTTCGCGAGCACACGATGACCATGATTAATTCTAAAATGATGTTCATAAAAAAATTCGCATTTCGTTTATCTTGTTTCTCCTTATTTATAAAAAATTTTTCTGTTTTTTTTCCTCAATAATACAGAACGAGGCAGTAATGGCCGAAGAAGATTGTCACTACTGCTGCACAATTGATCATCAGGTGTGTCGTTGCAATTATCATCCGGTCGAGGAGTTAATTAAGGATTGCGGGAGGGGAAGGGGTGGCGCAGGGTCCAATGAGCTCGATGCGGTTTCTGCGATAATGAATTGTCGGTGATGGTAATTGAGTGAACGTACAGCAGGCAATGTAACGAGGAGCAATGTATACGTCAGCAAGGTATCTGCGGTGTTACTGTTGAGGTGCAACCAGGTATCCCCTTCCTTGCGAATAGCGGCCAACCGGGTAGGTCCGCTCGGCAGACACGTGGAACCGGGCTAAGTAAGGTAAGCAAGGTAAGTAATGGTGGGTAAGGTAAGGATGGCACGCGCGCCGTGTTCTATCGCTTCCGGGCATCAACGTGCTCGCGAGCCGCGGCTAATTGCTCTTTAATGCGCAAGAGCAACGCGCCGCGTTTCTATGTGTATCTGCCTTTCGCGATTCACTCAACTTTAGATTCTAGATTCGGCGATTCCTGCGACTTGGGTCGCGACGGACCAGTGCAGGTACAGTTACTTAACTCGTTACTTTTTTATTTCACTTATTTCTCGTTATTGTTCATTGTTACTCGCGACTTTGTAAAATTAATTAATAGCATTGTGTATCAGACTTGTGGCAATGCGTGACGAAAAAAGAAAGAGAGAGGAAGTACTTAAGTGCCATAACTGTTAGACAGGGATAAAATTAATCATTTTATATTATTTTTTCTATCAACTATTGGGTACTACTGACAAAAATAGATATCGTATGTCGTGTAGTTAACTTGTCGGGGAAAATTCGTTAGCACAGGTGAAAACGGAACTGAAGGGAAACGTGTGTATCGCTGATCATTCGAAATTCTGACTCTTTCGGTTGGATACGTGATATTTATTTGTTCAAATGGGAGGTTCGCGGGAGGAAGATAAAATGAATAAAAAGTATTTTAAAATGGAGTAAAATAGAGAGGCCATTCGCCGAGGCATGACCGCACGTCCAGCAGAAGCTCATACATATGTAGTCAGCGCCGTCAGAGCCGCGGTGCAGGACCCTCCGGAAAAATGAATATGCAGCTATGTACGCAGGGCATTATTTTATGAAATTTATACCGGTATTCCCCGCCGCACCCCTTGCTCACCGTGAGACTTTTCCACGCTATGGTACGACGACAAAGTGCCACCTGTGATAAAGGTGCATATTCAATGTCCAACCCAATAAAATTTTTGCCGTACGTAAAATCTTCGTACCTACCCCAAATTTCGCGGTAAACGATAAATACACCGTTATGTAAACAAGACTTGGCAGTACATTTTTTTAATAATTGATACGTGCTCTCATAACCTCAATTTGTTGTTTCAGATTGACGTTTTCCGACAGATTCCAAAACTTGAATCGTGCACATTAAGTCACGTGGGGGTGGAGTCAGTTCTACGTATAAAATTGTGTAGTCCCTTATCGTCCGGGAGGAAACGCAACATTAAATTGAGTCCAGTAGGGAGTGGGGTGTTTCGGTGGGTGCGCCTGAGATTTCCTGTCTGGACTCTGGATGTTAGAAAGGATGGTTTCCTATGTACGCGGCTGTAGCTACGTGTATGTATATACTTTGTGTTTTTAGCGATTTTTAACAGTTAACTCGTATATACATATATACTATATATGCCAATGACGTTACAGTCGCGGAAGTGTTGACGGAGTAAGGAGTCCACATATGTAATACATATTAATGTATTCAGTTTTAATAAAAATATATGTAACTCGTTTATAACAAAAGTTACTGAAGAGAATCGCGAATCTATTTACTGTCTATTGACACCGTTATGTGCTTTGACATCAATATATGTATATAATGTAGATTCTAGCTACTGTGTTATTTTTTTATTAGGCGAAGTTCCGTAGAATCGTAATATCGCAATATCTAAATAACTTTATCATTAATGCAGCAGTGGACTCGCATTACTAGGAATTTGTATATAATGGTGCTATGTACATATGTAATGCGCCGGGGGCCGCACATAATAGCGATATCATAAGATACGAACCAATAGTCGCAATTGTATGGAAATATGTATCTATGAATGAAGACACTTTCATTTATGAAACCAGATACTTATGTACCGGACACGGGCGTTGTAACATCCTGCTATTATGTGTCCTTATACTGGCCTTCTTATTCTCTTGACGCTACCGTAGAACTAAACCCGCCTGTGCGTACGCGCCTTACGTTTTACCATTATGTCGGTCATTTATTTGGTACTTCAGTGGCTGCTATTTTACATTCTCTACTTCTTTGTACTCACTCACGTATAAATAAACTGTTTAAGAAATCTCGTATAAAAATGTCATTTTGCAGAATTTTTTCAAAAGTCGAACAAACCCTTGTCAGCGTCACCTAGTGGAATTTTCCGGAACCAGGACAGGTCCTTGTCAGCGAAATCTAGCGAAATTTTCCGGAACTATCGAATAATGTTTCCCGCGAAAATGCATTTTTAAGTGTTAAAATCGTTCTGCCCCCTCTAGCGGAATTTTCCGGAACTAGGCCAGGTGCTTGTCAGCGACATCTGGCGTTTTGTCCCGGAATTATTAAGCCTCTTGACTGCACCATCGAGTTCAGTTGTTTTCAAATAATAGAAAATATTGCTTGTAACGTTGGTCTATAGACACGTTTAAAAACTTACAATCAATATGTGGAAGTTTCAAAGTTTATTTTAAAAGAGATGCTAATACATAAATAAAAACACAGCATTACTTACAACACTATCAACGAATTTCAGATTCTGAAAAGAAGCTAAAAGATAGAGTAAATAAAAAGCCATTATTATCTTTAAAGGAAATCCTGCAGAAATTCAAAATCAACGTTTCTACTTCACTAACATAAATATGTCCTGTAATACTGTGATGCTTACATGTTTCTGAAGTCCCTTGAGAACATCCCCTTCTCGAGGGAGAAGTAGGCAGGTAAGGCACGAGTTTGAGCGCAATGACTGTGACGACTTCCGGTCAGGTGCCGCCCTAAGAATCATTTTTTTCTTCCTTAAACCTTCCAGCAACGACGGCAGCTAACTCGCTCTAACTTTGAAGCATTAAGTCCACTCCTGGAGTAACGTTCTGTAACGTCCCATATGCACCAAGGAAAAAGATGACCAAGTGAAAACGAAGACCGGAAAAGGCCCATTCCAACACAGGATATTCGACAACGTTTCGTGCCAACGGCCAGAAAGAGATTTCCATCTAAAGAATCTGAAAATCATTTAAACAGAGATGTCAACGAAAAATTTATTTCGCATTAATATGTACGGTTCAAGTAATTAATTAGAAGAAAAAAGATGTTGGCAATCCTAACCAAAACTTACACTTGCAGCAAAAATGATCCAATAACCGTACAACGTCCGTTAATGGCATACCAGTTAGTCTTTACTGTAAAAAATAAGAATAAGTGGTCAAGAGAAAGACGTATACGTTGAATATCATTAATTTTTAAGTCGTCGTGGATTTTCGTAATTACATCGCGCTACACCTCGATACAACAATGACCACCCCCTGCCCCCCCCCCCTTGGCAGAGTTTCACAATAATTATCCGTACGAAATCTCCTGTCTCCGGGATGCGACTTCCTGCCACGTCCCTGGTGGACAATGACCACTTGCCGCAATGGCCAGACGCGTTCCTAATATCTGCCGGGCGATCTAGTTCGCGGAAGTAGGTATTTCTGGTGAATGTGTACGTGCGTTCTGTATTACGAAGAGGTAGATGGAGGGATGAGGAGTATACGCCAGGGAGGAAGAGACACCATCGTGCAGCTTACCGGGAGGAGGATATGATGGCTCGTGGCGTTATGCTCTGCGAGCTGTTATGCTCCTCGGGCACCACCGGACCATAAGCGAGGCTACTCCGCACCGCGCCAATCCGTCTCCATCTCTAGGTTGTTTCTCATTAGCAACACATCGGCGTCGAACGTCCCCTAAATAAATCAGTGAAATCACCATTATTATTTATTTTATAGTTTACACTAAGTTTTTATATGCTAATATCATTTTGCGTGCAAAAAATTTATTATTTACGACGAAGATAACATTAATCAACGATAAGCAAATTATTAATGATTGTAGCATACGATGCGTAGCGTAACCTATAAAAAGTAGGGTGTTACTCGAGATTTGAGGATTCCGAGAAAACTGATGCGATACGGTGATAACAGTTTGTTACGCTAATTACGAATAAATCATAGATTTTTTTTTTGTATATTCTTTAATGACAGTTCGCGGAATCTTTTCATCAACTTATTAATAACTTAGACACGTATGTAAAAGTGCACGATATCGTTTTGCAAAATCTGAAAGTACGTACCGGTAATACTTTCTAAAAGCCTTTCGCGATTCCTGAATCCTTTGTATGATACTTCCGTCGATTGACATTTGTATTATACGAGGATTGTATGAATGATTTTTTTCTTGATTACGAGAAAAATTTAAGAAAAACAGTAGATACGATAAAGAGTTAAAGATTTGAAAAATACCTATATGATTTCGACTCGTAAGACGCCAATGTATCTAGGCACGAGCCACGAGTCTGCATATGTTCCGTAGTGGTGAATATGCCAGAAGTCTCTGACCCGCAGTTCCTCTCGGGGGAGTCTTCCTTAGGAGCGTTCAGCGTGCGTAAGGAGCGTTATATTATGCCCTGGCGAACGAATAAGAAAGTAGTTAAGGCTAGGAAGGCGGCGATGGTGGTGGTCCTGTTGGTTAAAGATCGGTGGAGGGAGAGGCATTTTGCCACGCGCTACCTATCCCATCCTGCGTTGCCGTCGCAGCGTCGGACGCCAGCCTGATGCCGCCATGTAATGTAACAACAGTCCCGTCACACTCTGCTTGTCGGCGCACACGATAATTGCGTTCATTACATTTAAGAAACTCCAAGAGCCGAGACGATTAGAGCGATATAAAGCCAGCATCGCGAACGGAACGGGAAAAGGCTTCCGAGCTCTTCGTATTTCTTGGTTAGGTTGTGCCTACCGCGCATGCGCACTGCTTCCGCCATCGTCGTGTCGGAAGACGCTGAGCGGGACGATTCCGATGAGACAGGAAATCAAACTGGGAAGGGCATCCTTCTTACTTACGATTTTCAAGGTTCCTTGTTATTTCAATTAAAAATATTGACGAGATGAACGTTCTCAGGGAAGAAGAGCATTCGCTCGGGCCCCTGTATTTCAGAAACTTTTCCTTTTTCCAGATCCCCGGCTTTATTTCAGACTGGGAACAACTAGCAGTACAGTCTTTACTTTCATACTGGTAGTGCAATCGTCCGTGAGAGTAGGATGTCAGTCGGGAAATGTGTGCTGGAAATGCTGTAGTCCTGGTAAGGACTCTAAGGAGGACACGGTTGATTCTCACGGTGCGATGACCACGCGGGACACTGACATCCAGATCAACACGTTGTTACCGACGGAGTTGGTACGCGCATGCGCACCATCTTCTTCTGCGTTTAATAATAAGACTTACTCCTTATATCTGTATATTCATCTCTTTCTTCCTCTTACCTTATTTTTCTCACTTCTTACCACCCGATGTCTATCTTATCGTTGAATGCACTTTGTAATGAGTCAATCTTATCAACGTCATCATACACCAGCGCGAAGTACGTCTGTAGCATTTTAAATTGCCCGCCATGCTTCCTCTGTTGCTCTGAAAAACGTCGAGGTCACAGAAATTTAATTTCTAAGATTTAATATGAATTCGGTGTTGAGAAAATGGACGTATGAATTCTTCAAGTTTTCCCGGGTAGTCTCGAGAAATTGCAATATTGTGCCCGGGAGCAGCGAGCATTGTTCGGCAAACGAAAGCTCAGCGAGACCTGAGAAAAAGCCGGCAGAGTGGTAGACATAAATAAATAGGTGGTGGGTGTGGTTGGCCGGCCGCACACATGGCGTCGTGACCCGTCTTCACTTCGTGAGCTCAGGGCTCGCTTAAGTTATGCCTGCGGAATGCTGCTCCCGCTTTCGGTATTACAACTAAATGCACGTATCCTCGTGCGCATGCGCATATTGCTTTCACAGGATTTTTCTACCCAAAGGTGATATAATTCATAAAGATCCTTTGCAATAAAACGCAACAATAAGATTGCCAGGTCTAATTATTATATGCAGTGAAAATTATATTTACTTACAATAAATATTATAAATGCTATTATACCAATTTTTTTTTAATATCTGATATACTTTAATCATTTAGATTCGAGGAACATTTCCCGGAATATTTTAAGTTTTCATTCTCTCGTTCATTCATTTTTCTGTTGGGTTTGATACTTCTGTCTGGTTTGTACAACTTGTGCTTGTTGGAACAATGCAGCATTGTTTCTCGTTGTCGTTGTGGCTACTCTAGCTGGTACGGTAGCTATGGCGCGCGATGTTTATTACCATCTTTGAACAACAAAACACAATCGGTTCCATGTTGTTTTCTCTGGTTGCGTCGCGGTTGAATCACTTTTCAAAAAAATTATTTTCTGTCACCATACGAAATCGTCTTTAATAGTTCCATACTATGTTGATTAACACTAAACATACCGACAATTTTTTATAAACGTATTTTTGGCTTTAAAAGGGTCAAATGACCCGTCGATGGTACGATTAGTGTTAAATTAATTCACAGTATGTGAATTCACAGTATGTTATTCACAGTATAAATGTCCGCTTGGAATGATATACAAACACAGAGAACATTCATTACGTCAATCATATGTATTTATATCCTTATATGTGTAGATGCTGCTTTATTAATTCCTGATTATTAGAAATTTCAGACTCTTGGTCTATCAAATTTTCTCTATCGACGTTGTACTTGATTAATAAGAAATTTCTTTTGCTGACTAATTTAATATTATGAATAACTTAGTCATTATCGCTTATCACTATTTTTATCGTGTTATTATACAATAGTTATTCTAAAATTATATCTACCAGACTCGTTCAATAGTTGAATGCTCTATTAGCATCAAAAGCGAGTTTGGCAATTTCGAAGCAACAATACCATTACGGTGTTTTAAATGCAAATTTATAAGAATAAAAAAAAAAGAAGAAAAACCCCCGTAAGGGCATTATAATTTATATTACTACATGTGGCAGCGGCACTTCCGCCGCGAGCATAGGCGCAGTTCCGGCCAGCGCGGGTCGGAGATCCTCCATCGCCAGATTATGAACCCATGCCATTACACGTGCACAATACGTACACACAAACATATATACACACAATAGGTCGTGCGCTGTCTGAATCATGCCAGCGAAAATAATCCTCTCTCTGCGTTCGCTTCGCAAACGAAAAAGAACAAAAAAGAAGAGTAGCCATCATCGTCGCCACATTTCTAGAAATCGGATGACGAAAGTTTGATGTCCAATTGTCCCATTTTTTGTTCATACTATTGTTTTTTACCATCGCCATCAACATGCATACATACGTATATACAAAGCTACTCGACTTAAATTGACCAACCAAAGTTGGCTTTGGAACAGAAACCAAACTAACAGGCTAACTTCAGTTGGTCCGACTGAGCTTATTAATCGTATAGATAATTAACTAAGAGGATTATCAAAACGTCGACTTAAGCAAGACCAGTTAGGAATTTACCACTTTTGGCAAAGTCAACGATCTGCTGAACGGAATCCTGAAATCTTGCCAAGGTTCGTTGGGCTTCCGGTGCGGAAGTAGCTCTCAAAATGGCCGTTGTGTAAGCGCTCGTCAGACTTGAGACGAAGTCCTGAGCACGATTGGCACCAGCTTCAAGTGATGCCGCAGGATCAGGAACGCTTCTAGCAGCAGCTACGATACTCTCTTTGATACGAGCAATCAGGTTGCTATCGTTGGATTCAAAATGCCCATCGGAAATCTCACGTAGTGTCTTGCTGATAGCTGCTTCTGTGAAATAGTAAAGATTTGTTATTTTTCTTTATTTGATTACAGGCTAGTTTCCTCCTATTTGCTTTATACTTTTATTTCATTTTTAATTATATTCACCTCTGGATTCCGGACGTGATCCAGATGGCGTTGCTGTGCGATGCAAAACGATCCCATTTCGAATATCCTGGGGATGCACGGCGCTTCCTGCCAGAATAACGAGTGCAGTGACCACGAAACGCACCATCCTTATAAATCCTTGGTTGAAAACTGCAAGAGTCAATGCGGCTGCTCTCTCTTTTTATACGTCAGAGGCCAGTAGGTAGTTACATGGACGATGCTGTCGAGTAGGAAGGTTATGTAAAAAAAAATCAAATCGAACGTCCGGCATAGCGACAGGCATTGCCCGTTATAAATGTTTTCAATAAATACCGTTAAATGCTTCTATACAACTGAAGTCTCTTGCTATTTTAATTCAAAGCGTGACCACTCGCCGCGCCACGTGTCACCTACACGAACATGGATGGATTACGCCTCCCGTGAAAATCGTACGTACGTGTGACCTACAGGTGGACAATCATATAACAGTATTGTCTTGATTACTACGAAAGTCCGTGACTGGCAATCGGTGATAATTAGCTAAAATCCCATTTTCGCTTTGATTATAAGTAAACAAACGAATATACCAATTTCGAAAGTTTAATGTATATCGACGGTATTCTGAATTTCCTGCCTTTCACGGCGTTTCGATTGGAGCTCCGTCTTAATTTTTTTTTTTATATTCCTCATCATTTTTAAAAGTACAGTCAAGTTATTAACAATTTATTGCGTTGCTTCGAGTGAACGACAGGAAGGATTTCAGAGACTTCATTATTGGCTTTTCAGCATACTATAGCGTTTCGTGATTGATTATTGACTCTTTTTTCGGCGACAAAAAATTATCGTATGGTAGTTTAACAGTTTAAATTTAACTTTAGACTAGTTACTAATTACTAGTAAGTATCGTGCCATTACATGGTAAGTAAAAGGCCAATGACACGACTATTGCGTAAAGCGTCTGGAACTTTCTTGGATTTTTCATTTATTCAGCGCATACGATCGAATCATTCACTAAAGGCCACGTACATTTTTTGAATAGTATGTATGTTGATTGAATAATTTTTTTTCTTCTTGTTCATACATACATAACATACAACACAGTGTACTTTATTGATTGCCTTATTTTCATAGAATCAGCCGATCGGATTCATTCAAATAATTTTAACGTACAATATCACGTGGGTAACTGAAAAAAAAAGTCCCTAAGTAAAAATATTTGGAGCACTTTTCTCAAAATTTCGGATACAACGTACAAAAAAATCAAGTTACCGAAAATAAAAAATCTGAATGATTTTGTAAAGTGATTGTTTTTTCAGGTGACGAAATTTTGTATGAGGATACATGATATATATATATATATATATATCGTATTAAGTCATGTAATTTAGAAAAGTAATGCAGCCTGGGATGTTCAACAGGTTCATTCGTTTCCCGTGGAAGTGCGTCCGATGTAGTAGACGGCGTCGCGACGGTAAAAGTGCGTGAGCATAGGGAGCGCATCGAGCCGTGGTTCCTGTTCACCGATTTCACCCCCTTCCATCCCCGTTTCCTCCCTTCCCACCCTCCCACGGCCCATTATGCACCATGCCGTTCGTTAAATGCATCGCGATTAAAACTCGAACTTTACGGTGCGCCCATAGGATCCTCGTGTTACCCAGTCAGGAATTAAAATTTCGTTGGGAACGGCTGTGAGAATCTTGAAAACGTTTCGGACCCACGAGACTTCGCACGTGAACAATGAGAAGCAAGTATAAGTGAGAGATTGATAAAAAAAAAAAATAACAGTTTTTCACTGCAGCTCGTGTACGATAAATAGTAATTTCATAAAGCGCATAATTACATTGACCAGTGCCGTGTAGAAAGTGGATAGATTTTTTTAAATGACGGAATATTACGCAGCCGTCCTTGAAAATGTACATTGCAAAAAATAAAGAAAAAAAAATGAACGTTAGCTGATCGAGTGTCTCGAAAGTGTATGCGTGCATCAAGATGCACTTTACGCGCACTCATACCAGTGCCAGCCACGTTAATGCTGGACGAATGAAAATACAGGTAGTTCAGCGCATCCAAATAACATTTCATTCATGCAGGAAAGCAGAAGCGTCGTGAGGAGCTCTTCCGGCTAGTATTGCGCACTAGTCTCTGCGCATCGGCATAATAATGGTCCCCTAATGTGTATCATTTAAGCATCCTGTTGCTTCTTACGTGCATTTCCCTTACGCCTAGGATCCACCCTTTCTGTTGCGCCAACATATAGAAAACGGGCCGTCGCTACTCCTACGTGCAATAATAACGACTTATACGCATTTCTATTTCAGTTGTTCTTCGCTTCAATTAATTGTCAGCACACTTTTCTACGGCAGGAATTCAGTGGCGTCGACCTGGTGGTCTTTCGTGTTCTTTCGAAAAACACGAGACCGGTAGTAAAGAATACGATCTAATATTGAAATCGCACCTATCCAATCTTAATCCAGCTTATTATACTCCGGAGGGAAAGTTTCTTTTCACCCGACAATTTCTCTCTTTCTTTTTTTCTTCCTCTACGAAGCATAAAAGAGTTTCAGAACTTTTGCCAAAGAAAGATTCGTACTCGTTCGTAAAGCAAGATGGCCGCGACGTCCAGACAACGTGAGACGTAACCTCAAAAATATCATTAACCCTTTAGTTTGCCGCCGTTTGACTTCGTTTCCTTTGGACGTAAGATCCCAATTCGAATTCTCGTAGATGGATCGACGGCACGTGCAAGAAGAACGATCGCTCACGCGGTGGATCATGAATTCATGATCGTTCGGATCGTTCTGAACGGAGCTGATCTTATCTACTGTTGAACTGCTCGGTTCACGTTGCAAAGCGGAGTGCACGGACGCACATAGCGATCGGATGAATAAATTTGAGGTTATGTGCGTCCCGAGGAGTGGATACACAATGAACGCGGATCGGAGTGGAGTGACAGAGGGCGCACTCTACAATCCTGCGGTGTCGAGTCTCTTTATTCTCGCATCAGCACCGGACAACGACGCACGGGAGAAGTTTATTATGCGAGGCGGGTGGGACACAATGTGATCAATGCGACGGTGCTCCGTGAGCCCGAATCAAACCGACGTCCCGACGTCGTGAATGGGCCCACGTCCGCAGGATTATGGGCCCGCGGGCCCACTTCGACAAGATCGACAACGCCGATTACGTCCCCGGTGACTTTAAGCCGTTTAATGCTAGCGCATGCTATTCTTTTCAGAACGGCCTGACCTCATACGGAATCACATGGAACCATTCGGAAACGCACCAAGTGTCGGCCTGGGTCCTTGTCGTCGATTCGGAAATTCTTCGCGGTGCTTGTCACTGGAGTGGCTTTTGGAGATACAGTAAGAATCTTGGTAACTTCTGTTGGACAATAAGATGAGCTCGATGATTGAATGGATGATCATGCTATTCCGTAGATCCAGGGGGCTGAGGATTCAGGGCATCGGGGACCTTCTGGATTTACTGAAAGTAATAAAGAAATAAAGGACTAATGGAAGGGTTATGGTGAGCGTCTTCTTCTAGCTGGTACCGATAGGCTAGGATCGCGTTGGCAGGACAGGAAGCCGAGATTCGACACGGCCTGTGGGGGTTCCGCCTGAACAGGCTGCATCATAGGATCATAGCATCATAGACATCATAGCGTCATGTAGAGTCATATATATGTGTTTATATATATATATATACACCGTGATCCCATAAAAATAACCCCGTGAAATTAATAAATTTATCTTGCCACTGCCCACCTAGGTTGTGTGCATTACGGTGCCCTTTGTTACTGTACAAAACCCACGATTTAACCCGAAACGAACTTTGGCAGCTAATTCAGCTCCTTCGCGTTGGACATGTTTACATTTTCGGGGATGAAAGGAAAATAGGAGTGGGACGTTTTTCCAACGTCATGTAAAATAAAAATAAAAAGTCCTAACACCTTTTCATCATATTCGGCTTAGTTTCTTCAGCGTGTACGAGCTGACAGGTGTAAAAATAAAATTCTGAAAATTCAACAGTTTCATTGTCAGTTACGCAGTGTCTTAGCTTGAGGCAAACGTTGAGAAAAAAAATATGTAGGTTAGAAAAGCAACGACCGATCAGAAATCAGAATTTTTACGCCCATTTCCGTAGTTCGATTTCCCATTCGCTCAATTTGTCGGCTGATTTCTCTTTGTAGCATTGAGTCACAATGGTTTTTCTGTCCGCACGGGGAATCAGAATGCAACCGCGTTTTCTCAGTTTTAACAATTTAGAAACCTTCGCTGCATCTGTATTTTTGAGTAAATCCACGTATATATACTCTTAACATTAAATCCCGTCGAATATCCCATTCCTAAAACTGTTCTTACCGAACTCTATATACGTAGTTCACGATATTTCCAATCCGCCATTTTAACTGCGCACAGCGCCACCACGAACTAAATATTATCTAAAACCAGAAAATAGTCGTCACTGATAACGTATGAAGTATCGATCTAAAAAAATTACGAATTTCTTCCAAGTACTATCTGAGAATCGCTAAGAGCGTCGTGACGCCGTCAACCCTATAGTCAAAAGGGACGTCCAATCGCAATATAATACTTCACTGTCACAGTACATTATAAATTGAATCAAAATATAACAAGGTGACTAAAGTTCAACGCACAGCGACGCAGGGTCGTGCGACTAGTGGAGGTGTCGTCGCGAGCGAAATGGACGTCGTGGCGGTGGACGTCGGTATTACGCTACCTGCATTACGCACGAGTCGCTTCCAAGACGCGTGTCTGTTACGCGTATGTATACTTATGGTATCGGCCGGCTGGTTCACACCAGATATATACTGGTTCCGGAACCCCATAACACATTACTGACATATTAGCAGACCCCATAATCAGATAGAATCATCCATATAAGAATATTGACTAATCACAGTAAGGCCATGGGACCTGCACCAAGTTGTACAACGAATCTTCAAGTAATAACATGAAATAATAACTTGATAAAAATAATTAATTATTAATGCAATTAATTGTTTCAGCACGGACATATCCGGTATACTTATTTTTCAAGGAACGTTAACAGACTCAGAATTACACGTTAGGAACTTGGAACTTATAACTATGACAATATGCAATGTCCTATGCGAAGCATATTCCAGCTTCTGCCTCTTCTTTCTTGGCTTTCCTCTATTTTTTTTAGTCTCTTATGAAACGGCTTCAAGCATGACTCCTAGCAGCGCACGAGCAGAAGCACAGCGGCGTATTGTATGGGTATCATAGACAAAGCGGGATTATTTTTCGCCCTGTCAAAGGAAGCGTGCTTGTATTGTGTTGCCGGTAACAATAGTTTCACTTTTTACCTGGCTCAATGTTCATGTTACACTCGTTTGACTAGTCTTCAGGAAGAGTGCACCAGCATACGAATAACGAACAATCATGAAATGCATTGCAAGTACGTTAAGAGCTTTACAGGCAATAACGTATCATGATACCCATGCAATAACCTAAACTGCCATCTTTGATGGACTCAAGGTACCAATAAAAAAAATGAATAAAAATTGATGACATACCTGTTCCTACCAAATCAACAAAACCCACGTGCTTACTACATAAACGTATACACTGTCCTACGGTTGATTAAGAACTCATAATTTTTTGTTCCCATCGAATTCCTCGATAATAAATCAATAACGAAGACATACGAAAAATGTACGATTATCATCGATAGCCATATGTAAAAAGTTCAATGTTCATAAAGAGGTTACGTTCATCTAATATATCTTGATTTTAAGCATAAACTCAAGGGCCATCTACGCTACTGTATCTGTAGAAACAATTACGGTTCAAAGGAAAAAGTAGACGTATATTTACGTGCACGTGTCGTCAATCAAATTTTCACATATGCAATTATGCGTATAATACTAACTATGCTCTGTGTATCGCATAGACACATTTCGCATAGATGACCCAATTCTCCGATTTGTTACGCCCCTTATTCCACACCTAGCTTTCACTGCTATACGTCAGATGGCGGACACGGCGCTCAACTCTAGCTATTACGGAGCGACATGAACGCATCCGGAAAAACCGCGCAACAACATTCCGCGCGATCGTTTACATTTAATATATAACGCGCCGTGTGGGGCACGCGTGAGGACTACTTGCTACTGGAATTCTTCCTGGTTTTTGTCACAGAGTGGACAGAGGTGTTGGACGTCGATCGATCCTGACTCGACAATTCGATCGTTTTTGATGGAAAGACCTGTTACCTGCTACCGAGGGTTTTACTGTCGCTTACTTTACACATCTCTGAGCATTCCACGACACGTCTGACAGCGGCACCGATGCCTACAGTACGTGCACTTGTAACGCGGCTATTTATTTTTTATTTAATCGAACAAATATTTCACTGTAAAAGATAACACGTGTTTATCGGCCTTACTGTACCGTGTTATCGAGTCGCACCGTTGTCAAAAATTTAATGTTAATAACATTACACAGTGCCAAGCCCTTATTGAAGCCGAGTCAAACGATAACTCACAGGGCAGGTTATCGCGGTGGAATATAAGTTGGTATCTCCTTTGAAACGTCAGAGCGTTAACGGGCGTCTTAATTTCACGGGACGCCATGACGTTTACGGCTCTCGTTAGTCTAATAATTTAACACTCGTATAAAACTCACTGCCATCGGACAGCGTATCTGTGTCAACCAAAGCTCTCTAGCATTGATACAGCCGATAGTTCAGCTCTGATTCGCTCGTTGCCCGCTTGCATGTGCTGCCGCTACGTTCTGCATATACTTTCTCTTAATTTATAATAAAACCAACGTCGAGTGATAAGCTGGCCGTTCTTATAGTTACTATCAGACTCGAATACTACGGTTTAATATCAACGAGAGATCAGTCGCGTACGATTCGTAAACCTATGTGACATAACCTGCAATGATGGCCAAACTGTCTCGGCTGACACTTAATCGACAATATAAACGATATAATCGATACATTGGCTGATGAGTCAATTTAGTTTAGACTCTCCGGACACTTTTCAACGTGTTTGGTTTTGTTGGCTACTCCCCGGTCAGGTGAAGGATATTCCGGTTTTGGAATGCGTGTAAGAAAGACAAGTCGTGCCGAAGGTAGGGATAGCAGGCCGTCGATGGAGACAGGAAGGAGCCTGGCCGCGGGACTACGTGGAGCGACGTTATGGCGTCTATATAGTTCGTACACAGATATCTACTGCCAACAACCAGCTATCAGTCTAAGAGGAGACAGACTCACCGCATTCAGAATGTGCATCTTCTTCGTAGTATTGGATGTAACATGTCGGATACCTTTGCAGTCGCAATCAGCCACGGCTTGACAGTTTCGGTTTTTCGTACTGCCCGTCGTCTACTTTATTCCTCACGTTCACCGGATCACTGGAACCATCACTCACTGAATCAGTTTTTAACGGGAGATACTATTAAAAATGCTGTTGACGTAAAAATGGTACTAAATATAAAAATATTACTAGATGGTAGACCAAACGGATAAAAACGTGTTTTGTTTTGACTCTGTCGCCATTTGCGGATCGTCTGTAACGTCATGTTGCCACACTCCGTGTTACGTATTTCAGCCGACAGAGTGCGTTCACAGATGCCCTTACCCTGTGGCGGGTAGTCTGCAAGACTCAACCCGACGCTCTTTATAGCATGTTTCCGGTCGCAGTGAGGCTGCACGTGACTTCGATCCTCTTCAGTTCACTTCACAGCTACCTGTCCCAATTTAATCTATTCCAGTCGGGCAGCAATTGGCTTCTCGCGATTACCATCGTCGACCGCAGTGCTACTCTCCACGTGTAAATAATACAGCTGCGGATACTAATATAATCGACGGCATTACCGACCCAGCCACTGTTCGGCAGCTGATGCAGGTAATCGGTGGTAATCGACACCGAAAATTTCACACGTGATATTATACTTCGATTTCTATCGGTTCGCCAATAAACGGTTCGCTCTTTTCTGTGTATCAAATTGTCTTTGTTTTACAATTTTTTTGTTCTCGTCAGAGGTGCACAAATCTTATTTATCACCCCCGCGACTGTCAAATTATACACTAATTGTGATATTAGCTATTACAATACTATGTAACATTTAAAAACAATATCAGAGCAACTACAAAAACAATCAACTTTCACTTAATACTTTGGATTTTTTACTTAATGATAATCTAACTCAAAATTTTTATTGACAATTCTACGAATTACAAAATTTACTAAGGATTGAAGTAATTTTCAAAGATTTGCGCACCTCTGCTCTGAACCACGTAGTAGGTACTGTTGCATCGTGAGGTGAAGAAACATGTCCTTGGTGGTTGGGTAAAATAAAAATTAAAAGACACTCTTGCCGTAAGATAATCGAGGTGATTTCGTTCAAAACAGTCTACTACCAAACTGCAATACCACTACTCAAATTTCGATCTATTGAAGCACAACGCTATATATGTATATACCATTTTAAAAAATATATCAATCCTGTTTTCGTACACTAACAGTAATCTATAATGGACATTCTGACGCAGCAAGAATTTTCTCTTTTCGAAAATGTTAAGGCGTGAAAGCAAACTGCGCGTCACTACTCACCCGTCTCCGCCGCGACGTCACTCATTCATCCCTCCTAAGTAAACTGGTTTTAGATGTAACACCGGTAGCCCAAGACTTTCTTTACAAGCGTCTCATCCAAGTATAAATCGTCGACTGGCTCGAACTACGTGATAATACAAATAGGCTTATCAAGTCTTCACAGCGTGAACTGTAAACAGAAAAAAACGAATTCCATGTAAAATTTATTATCTGTCAACCATATTACTAACTGTAAATATCTTTTTTCCCTACTATCGTTAGAATAGTTAACAGAGTTAATTCTATTGCGAAAAAAAATTCGCCATCAAACGGTCTGACGATTCAAGCCGGTACTGATACGCTCACGAGGTTTCCCAAGGTTCCATGCGGTTGAAGCGCCGAGACGACGCCGGGCGTCGGACTCGTGCGTATTCACTGGGACTGATCGGAACGCAATCTTATGAATGAACTTAAATATACGCATAGTGCCCTGGCTTAGGTTAGATTCAACATTACCATACGCACGACCCGCGGCCTTATTGCCCGTCCCTGTATGTATTCCGTTATGGCCGCGCGTTGCCTTGCCCGCGGCCAGATCGGTTCTTAACGTAAATTACGTAATTTTCCTTAAGAGACTAAGCTGAGCATAGAGGCTAGAACAGTCAACGACTTGTCACTCATTTCTTGCTCATCATCAAGGTACTCGCAATTTTCGAAATTTCTAAAAAAATTTTTTTAATTTAATAACAGCAATTATATTGGTGATGAATTAAAAATACAGACAAGATTTTATTTATTGAAGATTTCATTTCCGATACATAAAATATATTAGACACTTTGATTTCATCGAAAAAAAAATTGTATTATCACTCGAGCAATTTAATTTTTTTCTATTACGTATGGCGTTGGAGTCGTAGAGCTATGTATTTTATTTAAAAATTACATTTGATTGCATCAAAACGTATATGCATGTTATTCCTATATTAGTATAGGCAGTGCCAATAGCCAGATGTTATCTTTTATAGGTAAAAGGTAGGAGTGTATGAGAAATTTTTTAATTTTTCTTTTAAAATATACACGGAATTTTGCTTGGAGCTATTACACAATGTAGCGCTGTGTTGAAGTTTTGTTGTAACAATGCGTTCATGTATACAAGTGAGGTTAGGTGCATCTGGGCGGATACCAGCTGTGAATTGGATATCGAAGGCCCCGCGAGGCAACGTGAAATCAAGTTGGTAAAGTTATCGTCGAATTGCAGCGAAATGGAATTGCTCGATTAGAATTGGTGAGCAAATACAATGAGCGTTATTGAAATTATAACGTAATGTAACGCGAGGAGGAGAGCGATGCTTTTGATGCTTCTGTCTTTTATGGGCGCCGCTTTTTGAAAGGGTGCACTTTGCCGTAACTATAATCCCATGAATGACAGGAGTTCTCAACTTATTTATAGAAAGTCTTGATTCTAAAGCAGTCTAAGGAAAAGATATAAGAAATAGGCATAGAAAAAATTATTTTTTTTCGTAAAAATTACAAAATATAAATTGTGACTAAACTTTTTTTTCAGAATATTCACAATTTCGATCTTCAATTCGTAATAAGATCCGAGATAAGGATACTGAAAGATGTATTTTTATTAAACTTATTTTTTGTATTTTTATTTATGACGGGGTGGTCCAATTGGCGGCCGCCAGCGCTGGGCCGAATACTTATGAGGTTCGTGGGCATTTATCAAACGGTGCAGACAGTGGGGTCGGACACCAAGAGTGTGGACCACCATGCTGCGAACAATTAAATCAAAGTGAAGACCCGTTAAAAGCAATTAATAAAATTCGTATAAAGAAATCAGCGTTAATGAGTAAATCGAACGATTATTAAGTTATCGATTGGAGTTAAAAAAATCGTCAAATAAAGCATCGATTTCATTAAACGCTCAATAACCCACATCAAACGAATGGAATTTAGACTTTAATAAAAATCAATACACGATATCACATTTTACTCGATTCTATAAAAATACGAATTGAGAACCCTTTCCCTTGGGTAGTGGCCCCATAAGGAAGAGGACTGTAATAAGTTAATTTCGGCTTTTTTACGAACATTGACTGACGGCCGTCACAGTAGAGTGGCAGTTACTTGGGTAGTGGGTTTACGCTTTATAGTCGAAATTTAAAAGGGGTCGAATATGGTTTTCGAATCTTTCTCAAAGTCAGAGACCGGTAGTATCCCCACTATTGAAAAAAAAAAAATTCTCCCTGACATCAATCCTTTACCCAAGTCTACCTGCTTCCTTTTCATCCAACAGTTTTCAAGGAGTACCCAATCCTAATTACTACCTGCTAGCGCTTCCGCCACTACACCGTGGTAACGTGTAATGAGTGAAAAGAGGAAACTGTTTAAAATCGAAAGATCGTTAAAATCGAACCGCCAAGGATCCACGCGCAGAAGCTTTTCCGAACTGCACCAAGAGGATCAACCTAGAGCGGAAGATTCTTATTCCAAGAGTGAACCTGTGGAGTTCAGCGCAGAAAGTGGGGTCGTCGTTTACCTGGAAGTGAAGTGCTGCGTCACGGTTGTGTGATCGTGACATCAACCCCTGGCGCGTCGGGACGCCGGTACGGTAGCCGAAGCACGTCGCGCGACTCTGGACAGGTGGATCCAGGTGCATTGGAACGTTGTGTCATCGGGTATCTAACTATCGAATGATCCAACCTGTAATCTGTATGCCGGCAACCATTTCGGAACATTTTTTAAACAATTTCACCAAATCTGACCCCAGACGACTACGAGGATGAAAATGAGAACGAGACCGCAAGACTGTTAATACTGTCAGCTTGACTGATCGCTAATAGCTGTCAGTTCTAATTTTTTTTTTACCACCTGTTATAATCAAGATTTTAGATCGAAATATCAACCTGGCTGTAGATCGCTCCCTGAGAATGGTCGTCATCGATCATCGATCACACCAGTAACTTTGCTCGATGATGACTCGAGGAACGAAATAACCTGGAAATAGGATGACCGTTGCTCGTTCTGAGGAAGAAACGAAAAATAATTTCGTACTTCTTCATAATCCACTTGCTGTGGACTGATCTGATATTTTCACAGACAGCCCGAAACAGATGAAAAAATCGGTAATGACCGAATCAGCTGATAAACCGATGTGGTTGTTGATTCGTTGCGAAACGAATTTACATTGCTTTTTGATATTTATTTTAGCAGGCGTTGCCTGTCCATTTTTTATCGTCCTTTCAGTTTTGTTATTTTCAATTGTTTTTAAGAGTACAGATTTTTTGCGAACCAACGGTACGTCGTATCGATAAATGGTCAATGACGATCGCTCGTTCTTCTCGTGACAGTAACAACACAATTATCAAGGAATCGGCAAAATGTTCTTCTTGACAAATTGGTGAAAATCGTTTTGCGGTTTCGCAAAGTCGTAATGAGTCATTGACACTTTTACGTAATTTACGAGATTTCCCCGGGACGGCGGGCTACAGCGTTAGTCCCTGGACACCGGCATAGCGACACAGACATTGCAGTTGCGAGATTCCAGCCAATCCCTACCAAACTAAAATCATTATGTAAATACTCTCATGCCTACATCGATTCTAACCCTTTCTAAAAATATCGAAATTCTGAAATTTTTTTTTTTAAACTAGAATAATTCATAATACACCACGACCAGTACTTTTTGACTGTCCCCGTAGCATCCTCCGTATCTACGTATATTCGTCTTATTACCTTCGTACACATGAAATATATCAGTTGGCAACAAAGTCCCAAATATAAATATATCAGAAAATATTTTTTTTTAATTTTTCAAGCTCCATCCTTTAAATTTTCACAGTCATGTTAAAGTCTGTTCTCAAGGTGTCGATGTCTGCGATACTTGCCACGAGATCGACATACCGGTGCGTCGGTTGCGAAAGCATAAAGGCGCGAGCGTAGGAGGAGGCTAAACGTGGAGAGAGGAAGCTACGTTAGAATGAAGGAGGTAGGAGGGGAGGTTTATGACGTAGGGAGGTGAAGGGTTGGATATGGGACACGATGAGGAGAAGGGTGGCGACGAGGGGGCTAGAGTTCTTGAGAAGGTGGTGGAGAAGCGGAATGATTGACTAAGTGAGAGAGAGAGAGAGAGAGAGAGAGATGCCGACGAAGGGAACGAGGAGGTGAGGAGGGTATAGGTAGAAGAGCCGTAGAGAGTAGGACCCGAAGCGGCGCTGAAACGAAAGAGGCCCGTTCGGTTTCCTTCGGAGGAGGCAGCCAATGGGAGGCCAGTGGGCGCCGCGGGTGGGAGGAGACAGTTCCGCGCCGACAGGCGACGTAATCACCCGCGGCTGTGTCCGCCGCTGCTCTCTGGCCCCTCTGGCTTCTTCTTTCGTTCCCTCCTATGTCGTGGATACACGGTTGGGGCCTCGTTGGGGGCCCCATTTAGCTCCCACCCGCTTGCCCGGCCCAGCTGGCCACGGGCCCCGGGGCACGCCGGTCACCAGCCGAGGGCGACCTCGCGAACCCGAACTAACCCGAACGGCCGATCTCGCGCCAGCCACGCGACAAACGAGCCTGTCGGTTCTTGCGGATGCGCCAGAGTGCATTACGATAATTGCACTTGTTTATGATAACATGATGGGCGATATTGAAATAGATTTTTTTAATTTCAAATTTTTATACGCACTACTTTACGCGATGGTAGTGGTTACTTTTAAAATGTATTTTTTATAAATCCTTGATATCTATCCAAAAAAGTATCGACTGCGTTTCGGTGTACTATACATATAGGCACTCGTCTACGATGACCTGTAAATTCACCGTGGAGGCACAGTGTATTTTTGATGTACGGTTTTTGAGGATATTTTTTATGCTATGTACAATTTTTCTTTATCGTTGATATGTTGAGTGAGTTAATCTCAGGTAAACACGCTGCCGGGCTTCTATGTAAACTTTTATCGGTCCCAATGTATTATTCATGTGTGATAGTCACTCATTCAAATGGTAGTCTAGACGTAGCTAGTGATGATTTTTTACGCCTGCGGCGTCCCACGTCAGGGACAACGCTGAGGTTATCGCAAGTGAATCGAGGAAGCGACGCCGGTGGCGTCCTCTCGAGGGCGTTCAAAATACGTACCGAAGACGCACGCTCGGTCGTGCTGTGTAATTTCGTGTTATTTTCTCATTACTCGGAGGGCCGGC